TTTTTTTTTTTTTTACAATTCTACCGTGTTTTCTGAAAATAAGACCTACTTACATGTTTCCTTCTGAGTGAAATATAAGGCATCCCCCCGAAAATAAGACTCCCCTAGGCTAAACATGAGAGATTTGGTCCACTGATTCTGAAAGAAATGGAGTCACAAGAAATTCACCAGGAAATTCAGGAATTGGATTGTTATGATGATGTTCCAGAAGATGATGACATGATTGTCATTGAATAAATGAGTAAATTCTTGATACTGTAGGATTCAGTTTGTCTGGTTTGTGTTGACAACTACCGTACTACCGTACCATATACAGGTAATAAATTTCCTTTATTTTCATTAACAATAAATGTGTACCGTATTCGTCTTCATGGAAAAATAAGACATCCCCTGAAAATAAGACCTAGCGCATCTTTGGGAGCAAAATTAATATAAGACACTGTCTTATTTTCGGGGAAACAAGGTACTAAGTTTACATTTTCCTCATGTAGTTGGTACATGCAATAATCCCATAATCTTTAAAAAATAAAGGATGAGATGCATATACAACTTTACTAAAACAAAAATTCTCCCCCTATACCTTTACATAAATGTCCTACGGGAAATGTTTTTTTTTTTTTTTTAATATATATTTTTATTGTTAGTATTACAGATATCCCCTATTTCCCTCCCCCTTGACCCCCCTCTCCCTGGTCCCTATCCATACCCCTCCATCCCCTGCCCCGCCCAGGTCTTCACCATCCTAATGCCTGTGTCCATGGGCTGTGCATTTAAGTATATAAATTCTTTGGTTTATCTCTTCTCGCCCCAGGATGTTGAAGGAGAACCTGCTTTTCTCCAGGGTGTCCCTTACCCTTACAAAATGCCTTTCTGTCCCCTTTCTCCTTACATGTTGCACTATTTTTTCCCCTGACAGTCCTACATGACCCTTTTGTAGGCTCTTGATTTTCTTATTTAAGTAACAACCAGAGGTTGGACATTTTTGGATGGAGATCAAATATCTTGTTATCGTTATCCCCCAGGAGAGACAGTTTTACAATCCTGAGTGCGTGAGGAGACTAGGAGATAAAGTATGACCTTCGTTCCACAAGCCAAAAGCTAAAATACTTTATTTTTATTTCCTTCTAAAGCGAAACATTTCATTTCTAGACAGTCTTGGCAAGAGCTCAGACTATTTTTATGCAGGCTTCATGCTTGCAAGTAGAGAAATGCCCTTGATACTGTGTTTGTCTTGGTGGCAATGATGGTGGCCATATGGTGAAGGGAATAGGTAAAGTCATTATTCAATATTGTAAACAAATAATAATAGCTTCTAATAAAGCTAATATGAGAAAAGTAAAGACTAATACAAAAGTTATCACAAGACCAAGACCTATGAATTAAACCTTTTTTTTTTTTTTCACCTAAAGCAGCAGTTCACAAATGTTTAACATGTGTAAACATCACCTGGAGGGCTTGTTAAAACAACCACTTCTGGCCCCACCCCCAGTTTCAGATTTGGGACATAGTGGAGGTGCAGAATTGGCCTTCAAATAAGTTCCCAAGTGTTGCTGATGCTGATCCGGGAACACCACTTTGAGAACCACTGACCTAAAGGATGTCACAACAAGAATGTAATGATTCTAAGCAATAAAAACTTCAGTGAATTAGGTTTAATTAGAATTCATTTAAATTTTTTTATATATATAAACAGTCTGTAGAAATATTCTTTTAATACTGCATGCATTCTTGGGAATGAATACAAGGTCTCCATCTAGACACCAAATAAAGGCTCTTCGGGGTCCTGCTCTCACGAGACTGCCAGTAAATACAATGTCTTCCATTTCATTTTAATTTTGTGAAAATGAATGCACCAATTAGTCTTCAAGAACATCGATTAGTCCTCTATCATTCAATTCTGATCAAACAGACCACTAATTAAATAGATCTATACAAAATGTTTTAAGATGTGAGCAAAATAAGGTCAAAAGGAATGATTCTCTATTTTAAGAAAATAGAGAGCCCAGCCAGTGTGGCTCAGTTTGTTAAGCAATGGTCCACTGAGGTTACCAGGTCAGGAGACATGCCTGGGTTACAGGCTCGCTCTCCAGTAAGGGCCGTGCAGGAGGCAGATGATGTTTCTCTCTAGTCGCTGTTTCTACTTCTCTCTCCCTCATTCCTCTCTCCGGAAGCAATAAAACATTTTTAAAAAGAAAGAAAAAAAAAAGAAAGAAAAAAAAAGAAAGAAAAAAAAGAAACCTTATTGAACTATCAACACCCATCATGGAGCACCTGAAGGGGAGGCAAAGAAGCCTCATTTGCATCATTTCTGTGCTGCATCAGTTATTGTTCAGCAAAAACAAATCACCCTACTCTTTCCGAGGTGACCTTAGGTTCTGAACTTGCTTCCCTGTAGGCTTTTTCATAAACAAATAACTAGAAAGGCCTCTAAGGAGGGGAGAGACCAGTTCCTCATTTCAAGGTGTTCAAGTTTGTTGCCCACACTTGGCTAAAAAGGTCCATTGTCACAGGTGTGGAACCTGCTCTCCCCAGCCCTCGCCTGGCAGCTGGCTTTGTGGTTCTGCTGACTCCCTCGCCAGGACTCACCTGGACAATGTCGCCTTCAGAGACAGACCACACACAGGTATTAGGGGCAACCTTCACTCTGTCTGGGTTTCTCTCTTGCACTTTTGTTTGTTCAGAGCCTGTTGCTACCAGCTTCTCCTGGTCCGTCTTGCTGGTTTCTCCAGGCCTAAAAGAATGGGTGAATCATTAATCTTCAAGCTTTAATTTCCTCCCAACCATGTAGGTAGTGTTTTCTGGGTTCTTAAAGTTTGGCAGGTAAAAGGCTGGTGAAGTTTCTTTATGATATTTATTGGTTTAGTCTTTTAGAGGACAGAAAGGAGAAGCATGAACCTGAATTCTTCTGGTAACTTTTGACTCCTCCTCATATTCATAGAGGCCATCATTTAGGGAGAGCCTCCCAGGACCCTCAGCCATTATCTCTTTGAACCTCTGCAATAAGTCCGTGAGGGAGATACTTTGTTGCTTCTTCATAAATGGTGCCCAGGGGCTAACAAAGGGGGTGTGGCTTGTCGGGGAGGGGGGGGGGGCGGGTCCCAGGCTAGCTGATAGTGAGGTGAGGTGGGAGAGCAAGCAGATGGTCCAGAGCCTGGGGGCTCTTCTCTCTGCAAACTGCCTCCCAAAGTCCTGTTATTTAAAGATTCTCTGGTTTTGCGGTGAGTTATGTCAGCAGTTACTAGTGCCTTGGTTCCAATATTTCAGACCCTGGCCACTAAAAAATACTTTATGACCCTTAAGTTCTAGGCAACAAAATAACCTCTTACTCACCACCATACCCTTGTGTCGGGACACTGGTAAGGAAATCTGAAGCAGCGTCCTAACCCTCAAAGGCCGGAGGGGAGCCCCAGGGACTAAGAGTTCTGATGGAGCTGCTCTGCAAGTGCCTTTGTGAATGCACTGAACTCCAGTTAGGGTGTGGCTGCCTAGGATGTGGACAGTGCTATAAAGAGGAAAATTTAAAAATCCCCGGGTGTGTCCATGTGTGAAAGTACCTATAACTCCAGTCTTCAGCTCAGCCACCTGTTTGTTGGGAGGATAAGAAACTGGCCTCTCCAGAAACTGGAAAGAGACCTAAGGTATCTGTTTTCATCAGTGGTCAAGATGGGCTTTTTCATTCTTCTTCAGTGAAGCTGGGATCACCCTTTAAAGCAGCAGCCAAGATAATCAATCTGAAAACAAAACCAGTTCACGAAAATGTGCGTCTCTTAACTAGTATTCCCCTCTCCCAGATGCCCCAGATAAGGACCTCATGCATTTTTATTCTACATGGAGAGTTCTATACACTTGAGTCCTCAGCTCAAAATATTAAAGCACACTCAACATTAAGAATTGAAGATTTTTTATTTTATTTTATTTTTTTGCAGATAAGAGTTGTATTTACTTTAGTTGGCATCTAGGTAGTCCCTCAAACAACTCTCAGTCTAAAATTCTGTTCCTGTTGGTTTCATTTGCCTTAACCCAGATGAGAATTAGGGCTAAGTATAAGAGAACTCAAAGTCTGCAGGGTCAATGTCATGACAATAAAAAACAGTTGGCTCCTCCTCTTTGCTGATAAGAGTAAATCTAAGAGCCTATCAATTCCCTCAACACATGTTTGTATTTTTTTTTTAACTTCTATGCTTAGAACCTATTAGAAAAAAAACAAATTAAAGGGGAGAGCAGATGCTATGGTCAGGTACACAAGATATAATGAGAAGCAATGAATAAAAATTAAGGAGTATATCAGTGTGAGGTCATTTTGTTTGGAGTAAGTACTCACATGCTATAAAAAACCTGTGACAAGTATTGCATTCCTCATAGAACTACATTAAATGTGGATTATCATCATTGTATTTCAGATAGTACTGTGAGGTATAAGGTTGAGGAGGTAAATAATACACCACAGAAAAAAGTTCTACTAAAAAAATGTTGGTGCAATTAAAAAATTTTAGCACTAAAAAAAGAAATTATTAATTCTCCTTAAAATTTGGTTATCCAAATGTGTTCATTCTTAAAGGGTTCCGGCTTGCTGAGTTTCACGGTGAATTATAGACTTGCTAAAATTTTATTATTGAAGATCTCAGAATATGTGGTCAATGCCGATGTTATCTGGCTTCCGACCTATCTGGCTTCCAAAAAGTCTCTTAGCTCACTAAAGTTTTGTTTGTTTGTTTGTTTGTTTGTTTTAACCTGGAAGGAATATCAAATAAATAGCAAACCAATTTTTACATGCAGGCTATGCAGATGAGAAGACTGGACTTACTCACATTAATTATCTTCTAACCGTAAAGGCAGATCATGTAAACTGGGCCATACCTGTCTCTCATGTTGAATTAGAATTTTCATGTGAAATGTCAGACACCTTTTTTCTCGCCCGAGTGTCCCTCATTTGCAATAGATTCCACGCTCTGCTCTTCCTCACTGAAGATGCAGCAACCTGCCTGCAATTATCTTCTGGAAAAGGACAAAGACATCATAGAGGGAGAGTGGCGCTGGGATGCGGAAACTGAACAGCCCCAGTGTGATCCAGAGAACGGCAGCTCTGACAGCGTCCCCTGGCAGCTTCCAGCCACAGGGCCTCTTAGCTGCATGGGGAAGACAGAGCCTTCCTGGCCAGAACAGCCCCACAGCCTGGGGGCCTCTCCTCTGCACGCCCCGGGCAGTCTGTCCAGGAAGCACTGTGAGAGCCAGGGGAGCCTTCTCCACTTCGACAGGCAGGCCCCAGGCCGGATCTCCACCTCGCCCACCTTGAGGAGATTGAGGGGCAATGGCTGTGGGACTAGGCACTCCCTGCATCAGCAGGAGACCTTGGAAGAGCCCGCTTGGGGCGGCTGGAAGGAGCCTGCAGGCTCCCCATGTTACCTTCCCCAGGGTCTACCTGGAAGCCCCCCAAATTCTTCCCACTCCTTATCACCCTTGAGACTCGGCTCAAGATTGCCTCCGGATCCCAAAAGGGCCCTCAACACAGCTGAGTCCTCGGAGTCCCAAACAAGGCCCACCGATGAGGCTGCCCTTCCTGTGCTTCGGCCTGTCCACGAGGGGTCCCTTCCCCCCCACTTCTCTTCCAGGGAGAGGAAGCCTCTGGCTGCACGGCGCCCCAGGCCTCAGGTAACAGCTCTAAGCCCCCTGCCTGTCTCCAGTAGGTGCAGAGCAGCACAGACCTGGGCGTTTCAACATTTGCCCAAAGGCGGGGGCCCTGGGTGGGAGGCAGCACAGCAATCACCGCTGCAGGGACACGCACTCTTTTGTATGCTCTGCCTCTCAAGTAAAAGGAGTGCAGCAGGCTGGGGAAGAAGGAGATGGAAGTCTCGCTCACTTTCATCTTCTATATCCCGAGGGCACTTAAAGAAAGGGCCCTCCGAGGTCAGGCTAGGAGAGATGTCTGTCCGGAGCGGGGGTAGTGAAGGTGGCCCTCTTGCAGGTACACATAATTCGCAGATGACATTGAATGACCAATTTAAAAGGAAAGAAAGAGCAGATTATTCAAATTTTGAATCTTCTCTCACTCCCACCAAAGAGAGAGAGAGAAATCTAAAACATGTTCGCTGGAAAAGTTATTTTTCTCTTTTTTCAAGATGCCTGCTTTGGAAATTTGGGTGGATTTAAGCAAAACTAAAATGTATATTTTTAACTTCTATTTCAGGGAGAAGAATCGCATCAGTCCAGGTGTGTATGTATTTATGTATTTTCTCCCATGCTATGAAAACCTTTTGATTGTTCACTTTGCATCTACTTTTCTGTTCTGACAAAGCAAACCCGCTGGCTTATTAATCAGGACACTTTGTTTTATAGCTCCCATGTCACTCTTCACACTTACACATAAAGAATCTTAATTTTAAGAGTCTCATTTAGAGCCCAGCATTTTACTTGGCTTTGGGGTAGGGTGTGACAGCCACATGTGGTCATGGTATTCATTTTGAATTGTCAATGAACTGGCCCTGTGGCTTAATTAGCATTCACTTAATAATAGGTTTTGTCAGGTAGAGAAATGGGAAGGACATGAAACATTCAACAGTTTTTCAAAGAGAAATTCAGAGGACAAACATAAAAGAACAAGATGTGCTGTTTAAATCTAGGACAGCCTTTAAAATGTCTGTGACAGCTGTGCTTTTATCTAGAACATAGGTGAATTGCGTCACCACGGAAACCAGCTCTGACTTCCAGCATGGTCCTCAGGTTGTGGCGGTGGATTTGCCATCCCTTCCAGGCTGCAAGGGAAAGCTCCATGCTTAATGTCATCCACCCAATTTGTGGGATTGGGGGGAAAGCCCTCGTTTCATTTGGAAAGTCATGAAGGAATTTTCAAGGAATTAGCATTGTATTGTTCCTGGCCCAGGCAAGAGTCTGTGTTCAAAATAGGACAGATGAGGTCAATTTCTGCAATCTTTGTTGATTTCAATCCCAAATGATATAAATATATGAACACATGTAGGGGATATTTACAAAGCCACAGGAAAATGCCTATAACTGTGTTAGTGTACCAGTTAGCTATTGCTACCTAACAAACCATCCTAAATCTCAGTGGCTTAAAACAACAACCAGTTATTGTTTCTTAGAAATCTATCGTCTTCTGAGAGTTAATTGATCTAGACCAGTGACTGGCAAACTCATTAGTCAACAGAGCCAAATATCAACAGTACAACAATTGAAATTTCTTTTGAGAGCCGAAAACCAACTTCTGCACATGGGCCTTGAAGTTTCAATCGCACTGTACCTGCACGCCCACACATGGTATTTTTTTGGAGAGCCACACTCAAGGGGCCAAAGAGCCAATGTGGCTCGCGAGCCACAGTTTGCCAACCACTGATCTAGGCCATACTCAGATGGGTAGTTCCCCTCCATATGTCCCTCATCCTTTTCATGGGACCAAAGGTCCACCCCAGGTATGTTTGATCTTCTTATGGTGAAGGGAGACTTTCAAGAGGACATGCAGAAACGTGCAAGGCCTCTTGGAGCCTGGGCTCTTTATCTTGCCTAATTTTCTGGCCCAAACAAATCCCATGGCTGAGCTCAGGGGAAGGAAATTATGTGTGAGCAACAGTGGGAGAACATTGAAATGTTACATGGAAAATAGCATGGAAACAAGAGTTGGGGAAGATTAGGACCATTCATGCAAATCTTCCACAGGTGCAAACAAAAATAAAACTCTAAAATGACACCTAATTTAGATGTGTCATAGAAAGAGAAAAAGGGAGTAGTCTGAGAGAAAGATGAAGGTGTTGATCAGAGTTGATTACACAGAGTCTAGTAGAATGTTTAGGGATTTGTTCCTTCCCTAAAGAGCAGTATGAAACCGTTGCATGGATTGATGTGATCGGCTGGACACAGAGTAGTCATAAGATTTAGATGAGAGTGGGCTCCAGCAGAACAATTAGAAGGTTTGGGTAGGAGAAGCTGGTAGGTTAGGCTTCAATAAGAGGCAGTGGAGTTAGAAAGAGGTCATGCTGAGCTGTTTAAGAACCGCAATCACCTAAACTTTGTGAATTGTAGACCATGAGGAGTGAGGGGGGAAAAGTTGTGAAGAATGACCTCCAAGCTTCTGGCTTGTACCACTGGGTGGCAAATGGTTCCATTTTACGATCTAAGTAACATTGATGGGAGCAAAGGAGGAGGACAAGGGTAGATGGGATATAGGTCTTGACTACAGGTCTGAACATGTTAAGTTTGAAGACCCAGGAAGCATCTGAGTGGAGATTTTGAATACATGCTTGATTAGAGAAGGTATCATGGATGGAGGTATATATCTGAAGGTGAAGTCTGTATCCAGCTTTGATTATAAGATGGAGTTAGCAGACCTAAAGACTAAGTGATAGAACCCATTAAGCCACTTGAAAAAGATTATGTGCAGACTGTATTTATTGACATGCAGAATTTTTGTGAGGCAATAACAGAAACAGTCTTAGTAAATTCAAAGGAACAACTTGGTCAAAGAGCTTGAGGACTTTAAAAGTTCTGTGAAGTTCAATACACAACAATCATATAAGATGAAATAGTGGAAATTCACAGAAAATAAAAACAGGAAATTAGAAGGCAGATAATTTGGACATCTTGGTATCTAGTGATGACCCTGAATTACTAAATATTGTTTCTCTAGGAGTTAATACAATACTTGGCATATAGAAGGCAAGGTTTGTTGAATGAATAAGCAAGAAGCTAAATAACTATAATCTATAAATTAATATGTTAAATATTCATATATTAATAAAGCAGTAATTTTTTCATTATCCATACACCACTCAAATATATTTGTAATCAAAAAGTTCACCTTAAGCACAAATCTTTGGTAAAGAGCTGATCATTTATAGCACAAAGATCCCCTGTCAGTCATTTCCTCCCTCCCCCTCTTCTTCGTCATGTCTCTAATCTTTTCCACAGCTGCCATTGGTTATAGGGCTGCTTCCTTCAGATAGCTTCCCAGACTCAGTCATATTGTCAGGAAAGAGCTCCGTGTGAGGTCCCGCTGGCCATCCAGAGCCAGGGGCCTCACTTCAAAACCCTCATCTAAATTTAGCTAACTTAGGACTTTGATGTGCCTATTAAGTAGTATAAACCTAGGACTAGCAAACTGTGGCCTATGGCCCAAATACTGCTCACCACCTGCTTTTACAAATAAAGTTTTAATCAAATACAGCCACACCCATTATTTCAATCCCTCTATGGCTATTTTTCTGGCCATATAATGAAACAGACTGCATGTCCCCAAAAGACTAAAAAGTTTACTATCTTGTCCTTTATAAGAAAAGTTTGCTGACTCCTGGTTTATTAAAAAATACTTGCCTCTGTGGCTGTCAGTTAATCAAAACAATTATTTTGCCTTGTTGGATTTTAGATATAATTTTTTTTTTTTTTTTTACAAAAATACAGCTATTTATTTATTTATTTATTTATTTATTTATTTGCTATAATGTTTTAACATGTGGCCTGACAATTGGGCAGACTCGTGTACATTAGAAGGGCCCGATCTATGCTCAGTTCTGAAATCTGTTCAGTATAATTGTTTTAATTTCAGGCTTTTATTGTGAATTTTGTCCTCACTGTCATCCCCTCTTTTCCTCCATAATATTTCAATGAACTCATATTTATTGTAAACCTTCTCCTATCACCAAAATATACCTCCTGGAAAATAATATTTATAATTCATCCTTATAAAATGTGAAGAACTTTAAGAAATATTACACTTACCTTTCCAGGTAGAGCATTGTATTTCTTTCTTGGGGTTTCCTTATAAATGCCTCATCATAGTGTCACTGTACTGCATTTCTTTAATATTAATGTGCTTTTAGAATCAAGACCTTCCTGAGAGCAGAGAACAGTTATTTATCCTTAAAACTCTAGGACCCAACTATCTCTACAAATATTTATTAAGGGAGGGGACAGATGAAGAAAGGAAGACAGGCCAGCCACAGACTTCTTTGTTTACAGTGTTACTTGTCTCTCCAAAATGTATTTGCATTTTGAGAGCACATGAGTTGACACCCCTTTAAATCTATATTCTCAGAAAGTTGTCTGTCACACCTAATTTTCTGGCCAGCCCTGAAGCTGAGAAAGGAAACCTATGAATTATGTTCATGAGAATAAAGACTAACCTTCCAGTGTTCAAAAGGAAACAAGAAAAAAATGCTAAATGTATTCAAATTAGCAACTGGGGCAACATTAGCATGCAAACCAAATGACAAGGTATTTGGAAGTCTATCACCAGGAAGAAACCAGACAAAAACATTGAATACAAGTAATGCATCCCCAAAGCCATTACCCTCAGTGGGCAGAATAACTGATATTAAGAGCTACTGGAATCAAATTCTGGGTTTGAATCCTGACCTAACTTCTCTCTGGCAATGTGACCTTGGTCAAGTTCTTTAACAACTTGAAATCTCAAATTCTTCATCCATGGAGTGGAGATACAAATAATATCCATCTAATATGGCTTTTGGTATTATTAAATAGCATTATTACATATTAGGTGTTGTTATTTTTTAAAACCATTCACTTATTTATTCATTTATTCGTTAAGCCCTCCCTCTATGAAGTCATTGATTTATACTTTCTAAAATATGACTACAGATTGATCACAGAAAACTAATTCATTGTGCCTGAATTTTAGTTTCAATACAATACAATGTTACCTTCTGCAGACTTCTTTAAAACCTGTTACATGCCCAGCACTGTCTGTAAAATCTGGGAAATATCAGAGAGAGAAGACTCTATTCCAGCTCTCATGTAACCTGTTATAAAGGTGTTGTTAACTAGAGACTAATAGATGGTATACTGTCATTTCATTTATTTAACTTCTGCACTCTGTAAAATCATACTTTGTTGTATTACCTTCTTCCCTCACACACTTTTATTGAGATATCATTGACATCTAACATTGTACTTATATATGTTAATATAACATATATAACATATATAACATATATGATTTGATACTAGAGGCCCAATGCATGAAATTCATTCATAGGTAAGCTCCCTAGGCCTGGCCGGCGATCAGGACCAATCTGCGGGGTGAATGGCAGGGCGATCAGGGGACCCCCACTGGCAACCCACCTTGGCTGGCCTGGTGCCTGTGGGCTGGGGGAAGCTCCTGCATTGAGCATCTGCTGCCTGGTGGTCAGTGTGCGTCATAGCAACCGGTTGTCCCACCAGTTATTCTGCAGTTCAGTTGATTTGCATATTAAGGTTTTATTATACAGGATATAAAAATGGTCACCACAATAAGTTTAGTTAATATCATCACCTCACATAGTTGTACCTTTTCCCCCTTGTGATCAGATAAATGGGAAGATTGTCTATTAGTCAGGAGGGGAGACGGCAGCCTGAAGGAGCCAGGGAACTCTCCTGATCTGGACATGGCTGGAGAGTAGAGGGTGGACTGGCAGCTCCTTTCACATCAGGAGCCACGTGTTGTTCCTCCACTGGCATCAGCTTCTCTAGATGCAAGCTCCATGAAGTCAAGGTCAAGTCTGTTTCATTTATTGTTGTAACCCCAGGGCCTAGAATAGTCCCTGGCACACAGTAGGTATTCGATAAATGTTTAAGGAAGAAGAAAGGAAGTTAACTGGTTAGTTAGGGTATCGAACAACCCTGGTAGAAAGTTTTATGTTCATTTTTGTTTTGCATACTCTCTCTTCCAGCTGCTTTTTTGTCTCCATTCAGCTCCTTCCAACCTCCCCCACCTTCCTAATCTGTCTTGTGTTTATCTCTTGAATGTACCTTTTTGTAGGTACATTCAAGAGATAGGCTGATGTGGCTGGTAGGTATTTGTATAAGTACTATTTCATCTCCCTGTTGGATTTCCAGAAAATGGTAGAAAGTTGAACTGGAAATTATGGTCAAAGATGCAAAGGAAAGTTTCTAACAATCTTCTTAGTCTCTTATGGAAAAAATATATCCCAGATTTAAGCATGAGACCTAGTTTCAAAATTGGCAACTAGTTGTCATTTCTCTGTTGGTTATTTTAAAAGATTGTCTCTGATTCTTAATGTGTTCTTCCTGTGTAATCAATCCATCATTAAAAACAAGCATTTCGAGTTATGCCTATATGTATTTCTTGCATATGGCAAAACACTATGATTCTTAAAATGATGAATGAACGCCTATCTTTTCTAGCCACACAATTGCTGGAATGCTACCTGCTGAAAAGGTATACTTGCCATTAATTTTACTATCTGACAGGGATTATAGCATCTGAAGAATGAGACCTGACAAGCCTTCCCTTACAGAAAGAGAGGAAAAAAAAGGTTAAAAAAGAATAAAAACATTGGGCAACATTCATAACAGGGGAAAGAATAAAAAGCCATATCCAAATTGTAGCACTAAAAAATCAATAAGATTTTATTCCATTAATATACACTTAGCACTAGAGGGCAGTTGCTAACCCCTATATATTCTCCAGCTTTTTTTTTTTTTTTTTTTAATTTGTATCTGGGAATTAAAGCCCACTGTACAGAAGGAATCTTTTTTTTTTTTTAATGCAATTAATGCATTGGTCATGTTTCTAAAAGAGAAGCTTTAGTTATTTGTTTCTGAACATTTCTGCCAAGATAAAGCTCATCACATAACTATTATTTTCACTCTCTGGCCACTGATGGGAAAATTAGAACAATGCTGCCAGGCTGATGTGGCTCACTGTTTGAATCCCGGTCACGTAACTGGGTTGCGGGCTTGATCCTCAGTGGAGGGCATGCAGGAGGCAACTGATCAGTGATTCTTTTTCATCCATGTTTCTATCTTTCTCTTCTTTCTTCCTCTCTCAAATTAATAACAATATGTGTGTGTTTTTAAATTAGAGCAATGCCCTCACCGATTTGGCTTAGTGGATAGTGCATAGGCCTGCGGACTGAAGGGTCCTAGGTTCGATTCCAGTCAAAGGCATGTACCTTGGTTATGGGCACATCCCCAGTGGGGGTTGTGCAGTAGGCAGCTGATCAATGTTTCTCTCTCATCAATGTTTCTAACTCTCTATCCCTTTCCCTTCCTCTTTGTAAACAATCAATGTAATATTTTTTTTTTTAAATGAGAGCAATGCTTTTAAATCCCTGATTCATAGGTTGTGAGGAATGAAAAGTGTCTCACTCACAGCTGTTTTTCACATGAGGAAACTAAGTTCCAGGAAAGCAACAAGCTAAGGGCACACATGGCATTGGATTTAGAGCCCGCTCAAATGATCCAGAATAATCTCATCTCAAGATCTTTCATTTAATTCCATCTACGATACAAAAACCCTTTTTATAAAGATCGCATTCACAAATTTCATTGGACAGGATGTAAACTTATCTTTTGGGGGATCCCTATCCAATATACTATACCCTCTTTTACCTAAAGTAGTAATCAGTATTATATCAATTTCTGAAAACACTTTGTGCTTTAAAATGGTTTATAGTATCTTTTTCTCTTTTTAAGTCTTTTAGCAGTCAGACTTGTGTATTTGAATTTTGAATTCTGGCTCTTTCATTAACAATGTGACCTTAGGTAGATTTTTTTAAATTACCTCTTTAAGCCTTGTTTCCTCCCCTCTACAATAAGGACAAGTAATTTCCACTTGATATGGTGCTTATGAACATTATAATGCATGTAAAGCACCAATCAGTGTGTCTATCTAGTAAAAGTGGTCTTCAGTAAGTACTAGTTGATTTTAAATTAGAATATTATTCAACAACACCAATCTATTCAAAGTGTATGCATGTGAGGTCCACTGGGGACACATTTCCATCAGCAAGAAACTTTTCTGGCACACAAGCCCAGGCTCATTGTTGAGTGTTGACTCATGGGTGTGCAGCCTGCTCAGCAGTGGGAGAGAATTCTCCAGATTCTCTAAATTGCTGCCATCCCAGCCCACATCATGGAGCATCAGATCTTCAGCAGAGGACAGGATGAGGAGACGTGCCAGGAAGGAGACAAGATTACTCCAGCAACCATGGGACTAGTCCCTTCGGATCTGACCAGCCTGGGACAGCACACCTCAGGGTTAGTGAAAATGTGGCCCCATTGGGGTTTCTGAGTGCTGGGCTTGAGGGGGTGGCAGACAAGCCGAAAGGCTATGAAGTCTGGGTCAGGCAGCCAGTTATACAGCCTCCTGTGTCAAGAGTTTTCTACTGAAGCGAAGAACCAGGATAGCCCTCCCCCCAAAGAAAGTATTCCTCAAGAATGTTTGTTTAGTTGTGCTTCCCCAAATAAGGGACAGTGTGAGGTTATATTGTACTTCCACAGGCACAATGGGGGTGCCAGCCACACCCCAAACATTTTACATTTATTATTAGTTCATTTCCTAGCTTGATATCTCTTGGGGGAAATTAGGTATCAAAAAATTCTTTTCCTGCCCTACTCCATGCACACACCATTTGGCTTGGGAGAGGTAGATAAAAATTCTGAACTTATTGCAATGATTGCTTCCAGTGGATATTCCGTCTAGAAGTAGACACGATGATTCTGCCTGCATGCCATTTTTTATAAGAAGCAGTTTTAATATTTGGAATCACAAAAATAAGATGCCAATTTGGAATCACCAACCCCTCTCTCTCCGTGAAACCCAAATTCAAAATCATTCTGAATTCATTGCAACTATTTGCATTAACAGCATTAATCCAGCATCTGAGCAACCCAGCTGACACAGACATGCGGTCCTTTTTCAGAGTCCCAGAAATCTAGTCCACTGCCAGGCCTGGGGGAGGCAAGGGCCGGTTTTCTGCATCAATCCATGTCTGTTTATGTTCCCATGTAGATGTTCTCTTACTGGTTACCTAGATCTTCATATGGTTGCAACTGTAATTCTGATATTTTTATTTACCCACACCCTCTTTTGATAAACATGAAAATGTCAAGTCCACAGAGACTTTGTGGACATGAATCATGTCCACCTTCCCACAACTAGCACAACAAAGCCGAGGCCCCAGCCCAGTCCTGCGTGAGCCAATTGTCTTAGCCCTGCTCCTTATGTGTAAATTGAACTCCAAAACCTAATCTATGTGCTCCTAGATAGATGCCTCATGTCAAAAGGTACGCTAGACAGGAGAAATGGATAGGGGTAGTTTAACTACCTTTAATGGGGGAGAGGAAACTCAAATTGCATTTTTCTATTCTATATGCATAATCCTTCATATTCCAAAATGGAGAGGAAAATTCATTTGTGTGTATATCATTCTTTAGGTCAATATACCTATTTATTCCACAAGATTATTTAGATACCTGTTCTCTTTCAAACTCTATGTTAGTGCTTGGATTCTATCATATTTAAGACCCAGCATGAACCTGCAATAAAATCATAGAAACATGAAGCTGGGGGAGGGGAGTGAGGGAAAGGGAGTTGGCTCTCTCTGAGCAGATCAGAAAAATTCCTGGAGGAAGAGAGTCTAAGCTGGAATTTAGAGATGAGTATGAGTTTGCCAGGCAGTCAAAGCAGAGATAGGCAGGCAGATGGGAACTACCTGTGCCAAGGCATGGAGGCGTGAAGTACAGGGTAAGTTTAAAGAATAGTGAGCAGTTAGTATACATTTGTGTCAGGAAATGACAGTGATGACGATGGGTGTGTGCAGGTTTGTTATGGTTCAATTTACACAACAAATGTTTATTGAGCTCTTAGTAAACATAGAGATTTAGTTCAGAAGTGAGGAGCTTAGCATAAAAGAGGAGATAAGAAATGATTCTGCAAAGCTACCTTATAAAGTAAGATACTTTCTATGAGGGAGGATGACTATAGAGGACTATTTCATTCACTGGTATTTATTATAAAAAAAATGGATTGAATATTAGATGAGCACCTAATATTAATGATAACAAGACATTTTTGTTGCACTGAAGGAACTGAGAGTCTAGTGGAGTAGACATGTAAATAGAACATTATATCATAATATATTTAATGTTCAACATAGCATTTATTAACACTGATAGAAGTGCTTTATAATAATTAACTTTATCCATCCTCACACAATAAGTAGGTATGATTATTATCTACATTTCACAAATGGAAAAGTCAGAGCCAGAGAGATTATTAACTTGCTCAATCAGGTCACTCAGTTAAGATTAAAATCTAGGCAATTGACTCTTCAATTTTTTAAAAATATATTTCCATTGATTTTAGATAAGAAGAGAAAGGGAAAGAGACAGAAACATCATTGTTGAGAGAGAATCATTGATTGGCTACCTCCTGCATACCCCACACTGGGGATGGAGCCTGCAACCCAGTCCTGTGCCCTTGATTGGAATCAAACTCAGGACCCTTCAGTCCGCAGGCTGATGCTTTATCCACTGAGCCAAACCAGCTAGGGCTGACTTCTCATTCTTCACCATCACTCAGAGAACTATAGAAATATGAAAGAGAAACACATAAAAGAGCCTAGAGCCAGCAGGGGAAGACTAATCCTTCCACTCTGCTGGTAGTTATGTTCTCCCTGCAGTCTCCAGGAAATATAGAGACCACTTATAGAGTCATAGAAAGATACCAAACTCATTATCAGATTCTGTAACTTCTAGAATTAAATATCAAAAGAGTAAACATTTCCCCTCAATGTTCACCTAGATTACATTTCTCCTTCAGATTACTATAATTTTTCCAATCCCCTGAATCCCCATAAATACTAAATTTCATTGTATTTTCTAGGGTCTTTATCAAGGAAAGTATGAAGTATGCAGGAAAGCTTCTAATAGTTCTTTTCAGGGGATTTTTCTCATGGGTTCCCAGCATTTTAAGTTATATAATACCTTATGACTAGCTCTGTGAAAATTCTTGGTTATATACTGCTAATTCATAATGTATCAGTTCCAATGTCCTTAACCCAGGAAGATGAAACTAGAATGATATTTCTCACCTAAATTACTGTAAATTTTCCTACTCCCACCAAATTCAGCCCTCTTCATCTTCATAACCACCGTGGACATTGGGTTGGCAAATAACAAAAAGGAGAGAGTTGTAAAAAGTTGAGTTGTAACTCTAATGGTCTTATGAAACATCATCATAAATAGGTAGTGAAAAAGCCTCAGGAGTGCAGAATGTCAAAAGGTGACCCTATTCTTGGAGAAGGAAGTCCAGGATAAGGAGCTTTGTATCAGTTAGGATAGCCTTTGTCTGCAAATGAAAGGCATTTCTCTTGTAATATAACCAAAGCACAGGCTAGGGCAGATGTCAGCAACCTTTCAGGATCTTTCTGTTTTTCTCTTCTGCTCTTATCTTTGCAAGATTGCTGGCATACTTTCAAATATCAAACAATATTAAAAACAATAAGAAGAAGGGCAAAGGGTAGAAGGTAAAAAGAAGTAGAGAGCTCTGACCACTTTGAAAAAGTTTCCCAGAATCTGTACCCTGCAATTTCTATTTAAATCTCATTGACCAGCCCTAGTCAGTTTTGCTCAGTGGATAGAGCATTGGCCTGCAGACAGAAGGATCCTGGGTTTGACTCGAGTCAAGGGCATGTACCTCAGTTGCAGGAAACTCCTCAGCCTGGGCCCTGGTCAGGACACATGCAGGAAGCAAGCAATCAATGTGTTTCTCTCACATCAATGTTTCTCTATGTCTTTCCTTCTCTCTTTCACTCTCTTTAAAATCAATGGGAAAATATCCTTGGGAGAGGATGAATAAATAAATAAATAAATAAATAAATAAATAAATAAATCTCATTGGTCAGATTTGGGTAACATAGCCTCTTCTAGCTGCAAGGGAGTTAGAGCAAATTACTGTATTATCTCAGTACATGCCACCCCAAGCAAAGCAGGGTTTTGTTAGTAAGAAAAATGAAGAGCACACACATTGGTTTGGCAGCTAACAGTGTCTGCAAAATTAACCTAAAGTTTTCCAGTTAATAAAATAGAGGAGAGAGACAAGCAAAGAAAGGGCAGTTAAAAGAGATTTTAAAACCCCAGGGAATACAGCCAATTAAATTAAGCCAAGCCAATTTTATTTAAGTATTTCCCTTTTAAGTTACTTAGTCGATGGCTCTAAATCTTATGGAAAAAATAGGGGTTAGGAAGATTTGGAGAGGGCAATGCCTTCCCAGCTAAGGCACTGAAGTGTGAAACATTTTGTATGGAGATTACAATCCATTCCCTGTTTCCAGAGAATAAATTGCAAAGTAATGAATATCAGGGACTATATTATAGAAGGCTTGTGTATAGGTTTTAAGAAGGCATTTATCTGGTATAGAATGAAGAGCTATTGAAGTGTCTGAGGCCAGGAGGGACTAAGTCAGATTTGCATTTTGGATAACTTATGTTAGTGGCTGGCATTAGGATGGAATCAAGAAGATAAAGCTAAAGGTGAAGAAGTAAGTTAAGAGGCAACTGTATTAATACAGATGAAGGCCCAGCCGACATGACCCAGTGGTTGACCCGTCAACCTGTGAACCAGAATGTCACAGTTCAATTTCTGATCAGGGCACATGTCTAGGTTGAGGGCTCAATCCCCAGTATGGGTCATGCAGGAGGCAGCTAATTAATGATTCCCTCTCATCGTTCATGTTTCTATCTCTTGCCCTCTCTCTTTCTTTCTGAAATCAATAAAAATAAAAAAATAAAAAATACAGATGGAAGATGCAGAGCCCTGATCTAGTGAAAATGTAGAGCAGAGCACAAATTTGAAAAATTACTTCTTTGAGTATCAAAGGAGATTTCTTAGAGAAAGCAGCCTTTTATGGCTAAAAATTAACTTTTTATGCCTACAGCATTAATCTGAATAGTCTGAGGCAGCCCTACTTCAAATACTTTTTAGGAGTTTTTGAGACATAGGCTATTCATTAATAGAAATTCCTAAACAACTTATTTATAAGTAAAATTATAAAATTATCTCTGGAAACGCTTTTAGCAAAAGACTGAGATTTTAAAATAACTCTTATAATCTAAAGGTAGGAAAAAACTACATTAAGTTACTTGTAACTTCAAAGTCAGTTGTTCTCCAACTCTGGTATCTAAGGAGCTGGGAAAACTTCAGATTCAGAGGCCCACCTTCAGACCTCCTGGGTCAGAATCCTAAGGATGGGACTATTGATGGGTTTTATAATAAACTAGAGGCCTGGTGCATGAAATTCATGCACTGGAGAGGGGTCCCTTAGCCCAGCCTGCACCCTTTTACATACTGGGAGCCCTCAGAGGATATCCTACTGATGACTTAGGCCCGTTCCCTGTTGGAGCAGTCTGGCCTCCTGCAAAGAGAGGTGACGGGGCTTATCAGGGGAAGGCACCAGCCCCATCACTGTGCTATTGCAGCCACTGGATTAAGGTATTTTCATCAACATGGACTCCAGTCCCTTCACCATGAAAAAATGACAACTTTCTTTAGGCATTTTCAAGATATGCCTTTCATAAGATATGACATTTCTTTCTTTATTTTTCTTTTTATCCTCACCTGAGGATATGTTTCCATTGATTTTTCCCCCTGCTCCGCCCCTTCCCAAGCCTACAGCCTCTGCCCCCAGCTGTAGGCTTGGAAGCAGGTACCCCCATCCCCCAAGCCTAAAACCTCCATGGGAGGGCCAGCTAGGAGTGACCCGAGTGCTGAGGAGGTTCCCAGGACCCAGGTATGTATGCAAATTAACTGCCATCTTTATTGTGGTAATTTGCATACTCACTCTGATTGGCTGTGGGTATAGCAGAGATACAGTCAATTTACATGTTTCTCTATTATTAGGAAAGATTCCATAAGGTATTCTAATATACACCAGATTTTGCTCAATAGCATACTAGGCCTGACAGGGCATAACCAGTACTCCAACATCAGACATATTGATGAGAAAGGAGGCATGAGATCCAAGAATATACAATTGCAAGGCAAAAGATGGAAGCATAGGAAGAAAGGCCATCACTCATGTGGAAGGTCAGAAGAATGGAGCTTGGCTATAAGGCTTGGAGAACTCAAGCAGCAGGCGGGTGGGAAAGTGGAAGCAGCAGAGGAGGGGCTGGGCTGGGGAGACTAATGGGGTAGCAAGCATGGGGATGGGTAATGGACCAAATCACAATATCCAAAGTATATCAGATTCTCAACTTCCAAGGCAAATCCATACCTATGCTTTTGTTGATAAATTGAGACAAATTTCCTCTGTATATAAAGTAATCTATATTAAGCTATTTTTCGATTTAAAAAAGAGAATTTAACTATTACATTGGTCAATTCATAGAAAGAATTGCATCTCTCATCCCTCAAAATAGAGCAAAGGATTATCTGAACAACTTTGATGAGGAAGCTGACAACCCCTACAATCCAATGCTATCAGGCAGATTCCCAGAGGAGCAGACCCCTCACCCCTTTTGCTCCTTAGAGATCACTGGGTATATGGCTATGGAGCTGCCCCTCACTGTCTGATATGGCAACCATTTATTTTGTGAATGTCCAGCAGACAGGAGGTTTCATGAAATGGGAGAGAGAAAAAGAGCAGGTGCATAGGCCTCTCTTGTATGAAGCTTTACCAATCATAGTTCTCATTTTCTCTTGGAAAAATAAAAGCGCTGAAATAACCAGACTGATCTCTAGGGTGCTGATGGCATCCTGCTCCCTCTGAGGCCCTGTGAATAATTTGCAAAGATTATGTGTGAGGGCTTTCTCCTAGTGTTCTTCTGATTCAGAATGTGCTGGGTATGTTTGTGCTGGCACTTTTCTTAAATCATCACCCGAGGATATATTTTACTAATTTTAGAGACAGGGAGAGATGAGAGAGAGAGAGAGAGAGAGAGAGAGAGAGAGAGAGAGAGAGAGAGAGAAATATCAATCAGTTGCCTTCTGCATGTGTCCCAACACAGGATCAACCCACAACCTATGTATGAGCCCTGACTGGCAATCAAACTTCCCCCTGCTGTTGCACAGGATGTCACTCCAACCAAGTAAACCACACCAGTCATGGCTGTGCTGACAACTTTGAGAGAGTCATTCTGCTTTGGACTAGTCAGAATCATATTATAAATGGTCAATAAAACTCAAAAAGGTGTGGAGAGTATGTGTTATCATAGCCGTCCTGTGCCTGGAGCCTGGGATAGCCTCCAAATCTTTCCTTAAGAAAGCAGGCATTCCTCAGGCGTGGAGCAGTCACTCCTGGATGCCCCGAGTGGTTTGAAGGATGGCGGCCTGCACGCGGCTGTAAGCTCTCTCCTCTGTCTCTCTTTTTTTTTTTTTTTTTTTTTTTTTAATTATAAAAACATATTTATTTATTTATTTTTTTAATTTTATTTTATTTCCCCCCTCCCTCCCTCCCACCCATCCCCTCCCTCCCCAGAGCTTTATGTCCATTGGTTGTACTTATATGCATGTATACAAGTCCTTCAGTTGATCTATTATCTCCCCCAGATCCCCCTCCCCTCCCCACTGAAATTTGACAATCTGCTTGTTGCTTTACTGTCTCTGTATCTACCTTTTGGTTCATCAGTTTATAATGATCTTTATTATCCACAAATGAGTGAGGTCATGTGGTGTTTCTCTTTCATTGATTGGCTTATTTCACTCAGCATGATGTTCTCCAATTCCATCCAGGTTGCTGCAAATGATGAGAATTCCTTCTTTTTTATGGCAGCATAGTAGAACAGTGTGGAATTTCCTCAAAAAACTGAAAATGGAACTCCCATTTGATCCAGTAATCCCACTCCTAGGAATATATCTCCTCTGTCTCTTGAGTGCAGGTTCCGCGAGCGCAGACGGAGCTCTGTGGTGCTCAACTTGCCTGGCCTTGAGGTGTTCCCCGGGGACCTTCTGGTGTCAGATGGAGCTGCCGATTACCTGTGCCACCCACTTCTGCTGCTGAATCCAGGTCTCGTTATTCAGCATACTTACACCACAAGCCTGCTATGGGAGGATATTGTAATGAACAGGGGGATTTTCAAAATGCTTAATGACTAGTACCACATGTGCACTGACAACTTCAACAGATCTCTCACTGACTTAGGCATCAGCCATGAATTACCGGAACCAGCTGAATACACTCTGCTATTGGCCACTCCACTTACAGAGATGTATGAGGTCCTCTTGTCAAGAAATTTGCCCAGCCCTAGCCAGTTTGGTTCCGTGGATAGAGCATTGGCCTGCGGACTGAAAGGTCCCAGGTTCGATTCTGGCCAGGGTACATGCCTGGGTTGTGGAAGGCAGCTGGTCAATGATTCTCTCCCATCACTGATGTTTCTATCTTTCTCTCCCTCTTCCTTCCTCTCTGAAATCAATAAAGAAATATATATTAAAAAAAAAAAAAAAAAGAAAGAAAGAAAGAAATTTGCCCAGGTCCAGGGATGATCACCACCTTAGCTGAATGCTCTCTCTGGGCTGGTGGGTAGTTTCCATATCATCGCTGTGATGCTAGGCACACAACAAATACCACACCCCCACCCTTCCAACCAGGGCGGCCCCCTGTGGAGACAGGGGTCCTGTTAACAGCGGATTACCACTGGAGGAGATTAGAGAGAGGCAGTTTAAGGGTAAATCTGCATTTTGAACTCAGTTGGGAAAGAAAAGAACAGCTTCTCATGACCCTGAGAAGGCCTTTGAAAGCTGAAAGGAGACTTAGGGATTACCCATCTTGGTGGCTGTTAAACTGGTTTTGTTCTTAACCAGAGCCCTTTTTTACATAAGAACCCTCACTTGGAAATAAAGCCTATAAAGCAAATCCAGGCAGAGTTGCAATATTTGAAAACAGGGTGGGTCCCAAAGCCTCACCTCCAAGGCACCCCCAGGAGCCCAGGACATCCTGCAACCCGGGAACAGCTCATTCCTCATTCACAGATGTGCCGAGTAAGACCCAGAAAGGAGCCCTGGCCTGACCCAGCCGTGGTACCAGCTGGTTTGTGTCAGAAGAATGGAGTCCGGGCTCCTGGCTGCGAGTCCTGCATGCTCCCCGCCAACCTGCATCAGTCACCTATTAGATGGAACCCAGAAGCCACCAGTAAATAAATCATGCCTGACATTTGTATAATTCTTCACTCTTTATAGCTCCCTTTCACATCTACCATCTTATAAGACACAGCCATCCAAATAAACATCTACTGTCTCCTGTGATGCAACCACCAGAATGAACAAACAGAGAGGGATTAAGTGATCTACTCAAGGACAGGCCCCTAGAAACTAGAGCTAAACTCAGCATTACCTTAACCGGGGTTAGTACTTGTTCCGTGAGACTTTGCCCATTCCCTAAGCTGGTGATCAATGAAAGCAGTGTTTCCAGAAGGCTGGTCTCAGACCAGCAGCTTCAACATTACCTGGGAAATTGTTAGACATGTGGGTCAGGGCTTGCTCCAGACCTTCTGAATAAGAAATTCTGGGGGCAGAGCCAGCCCAGGTATCTGTTGTTTTAGTTTTGACCGTATTTTCCGGCATATAAGACGACTTTTGAAACGAAAAAATGCCTGCTCAGATTGGCCAGAGTCAGAGAGGCGGTCTATTAAAAAAAAAGAACAGGTGTTGCCTTGGAAGTGGGGGGTAGTCTTATACAGTGAATATATGCCTAAACCTATGTTTTAACTGTAAAATTAGGGGGTAGTCTCATACGCTGGAAAATACAATAATTAAATTTATTAAGATGACATTGGTCGACACAAACGTATAGGTTTCAGGTGTGGGTTCTATGTTACAGGGTCTGTATATTGCACCATTTACTTACTTCCCAAAGACAAATAGTTATTTGTGGGTTTGTTTGTTTGTTTGTTTTATATTTTTTAAATTGATTTCAGAGAGAAAATGAGAGGGAGAGAAACATCAATGATGAGAGAGAATCGTTGGTCAGCTGCCTCCTGCACTCCCCCTACTAAGGGTTGAGTCTGCAACCTAAGTATGTGCTCCGACCAGGAATTGAACCGTGACCTCCTGGTTCACAGGTCGATGATCAAACACTAAGCCATGCTTGCCGGGCATCATTCATTTTTTAACAAGCCCTCCAGATGATTCTGATGCCACTTAAAGTTTGAAAACCCCCTGCTAAGAAACAGGACATAACTAGCACGTGATGTTCCTAAACAAACTAGTTGTTCCTTTGTTGTGTGCCTAGCATCACAGCAAAGACCACGTAGTAAAAGTTATGCAACCTTCTTCACCTTCTGCCTCCACACCCGCTTCCCAAGGAGTGCAGAATAGAGCTCTTGTGTCCCCAAATCATGGTCTAATGCAGTGCTGCTCGAGCTTCCAAGTGCATGTGAGTCACTGGTGAAAAAACTGAGTCACCAAAACTTAACGTTTACTACAGATAATAAAAGATTGAGGAGGCAGCAGAGACCCATTTACATCTTCTGAATATTTGAGATGCTTTTCCAAGGCCCTAAAATTACCTCCAAAGCTAGAAAAACAGAGAGACATTTGTGGAAAACAGATACCCCAATTGCATTTCACATGGGACCTAATTTTCCACCAGGCATTTGAGGGATAAGAGTGGTAAAGCCTATTTGTCCCTAAAGGAGATTCCACCCAAGCTCTCCTTTTAAAAGATTAATAAGGTGGTCAGAGTGAGCAAAATAATTCATTGGACAGGTGGCTTCCAGGGTTCCAATAGGAAAAGCCCCTTGAGCACACCCCTTGCAGTAAATGCCATTCGGTAATTGCCTCCATCTGATTGAAGTACTATGCGGAGCCCCCTGACGAATGAAACACAGAGAGAGACAGATGTATAAGACATCTATTTTTTTGTACTGAGTCATCAGAACACCTCACCTAATCCTAAGAGATGATTTCCAGCTTTTTCTTGGTAACATTACAAATTGATGCAAATGACATGAAAATCAGGAGACCAAATCTCATCACTTTAAATCCTGATCACAAAAATAGTTCATTATTGAACAATGATGGCCTTCCCAGCTCAAAGCAGCTCCTCAGGACTACTTGGATGGTGGCTAATAGCAACAATAAATCCCAACATAGAGACTGATGATGTGCTGGTGTTCCCCTAGTTTGAAGTCTGTGTTTAACCACACCTGGGATTGTAAGGTTATGTAGTCATCAAGACTCAAGTTTGGTCCGAGAGAGTTTCTGTAGAACAGTGTAAAAAAAAAAGTTCTTTCAGCCCCAAAGTTCTATGACTCTCCATCTTAAATATATTATTCAACATCTTTATTACATTTCATAAATTTTTGCCCCCTGAGCTATCAAGAAAAGAAGGCTGAAAAATACTCCAGTAAAGAAATAGGACAATATCACTTTCAGGCAGCAATGGAACACCAGTTTTTAGGTTGCAGCACGGCTTCCTTCACTATCTGCATTCATCCTGTGCTTTCTCGAGAGAAGGAGAGTTAGAGCAGGATGGATTCCTTCTGGCTCTTTGGAAAGCAGGTTTTGTCAAGCACTGCAATGCTCTGTCACGAGTTACTCCAAGTTCTAATGAGTGTTCTTTCATTTCACCCCCCAGAATCCAAAAAACCACGATGGCCTTTCTCCAGGAGAGGAGCGGTGAGTGCTGTGCGTTGTCGTTTTAATTAAGCTTCCTGTAGCTAAGAAAGTAAGAAGGGGCTGAAGAGCCCCTCTAACTTTGCATGACGGCAGATGGCACATGACATATGAAGTTTAAATTATATCATCACATCTATAGTAGAGAACAAGCCAAAAAAGGCCATTTTGCACAGCAAAACAGTGCTAATTGCCAGTGGTTAACGAGCTCTGCAAAAAGTAAACAAACAACCAAAAAAAACCAAAGCCATCCTAATACTGTGATGCTTTACAACTCTAAATGTATAACTCGATGTGGCTTCGGAAAAACTCACTGGATAAAGTCAACTTGCACAGGGTACAACCCCCCGTTTGCAGTCAGTGCTGTGCTTATCGGGAACATTGAAAAATGAATGAGCTATTACAGAAACAGATTCCACAGAAACACTTCTACTTCTGGGAAAGCCGGTTGGATTAGTCCTGGTGTATGTGTTTTTTAATTCATTCTTGGTACCATCAATTATGAAAGAATCATAAATCTTGTATGATGTATCAGTGGTCCCTGACTCTTTGCAGCCTACAACGAGGGTTGGCCAGAGTGCAGCCTTTCCTCCAGGCAAGCTCGGGGTAGAGGGAAGGGGTGTTCCTGACTACAGCCTCATTCCTCACTCCTGCTTTTGTAGGGAGGGGAAGGACTGATTGTGTTCTAACAGCAGTACCAGTTGCAATACCGTCTTAAAGAATCATAGCTAAATTAAAAGCTGTCTGAGGTTCCAATCCCAGCTGCTCCACTTACTATTCTATGACTTTGTCCAAATGAATCAATCCCCTTCAGCTTCAGGTGCTTCCCTGTGAAAGCTGGATAGTGATCATGTGATGAGTAAATCGAATAGTGCATGTGGGCTTATCCCAAAGCTGGGCAGGTCTTAAACACTCAATCAATATTGGCCATAATACTGGTAGTTTTATTTGTTTGGAAAACTACTTGTTCTCATAAGCAAGTACCACATTATTTTTCCAGGCACCAAACATTTGTATGAATGTCTCAGTCAACTCTGGCTGCTATAACAAAATGCCACAGGCTGGATGGCTTAGTACCAGGCATCTTCAAACTACGGCCCGCGGGCCACATGCGGCCCGCAGAGGAGTCTGATCCGGCCCGCCAGGTTTTTTGGGCAGTGAGCGCAGCCGAGGTGTTACAGTAGGAATTAGTAGTTCATACAGTCCGGCCCTCCAGCTCTCTGAGGGACTGTGATCTGGCCCCCACTTTAAAAAGTTTGAGGACCCCTGGAAGCAAACATGAGTACTTATCACAGTTGCGGAGACTGGGAAGCCGAAGATCAATGGGCCAGCATGGTCAGAGAACTCTCTTGGTAGCTTATAGGCAGTTGTCTTCTCACTGTGTCCTCACATAACAGAGATAGAGCTCCAGTGCCTCCTCAATAATTTCATGAATGGGGTTAGGTCATGATAAACCTGCATGACCTCATCCAAACCGAGTTACTTCCCAAAGGTCCTTTCTCCAAATACCATCACATTGGGGGGTTAGGGTTTTAAGAGGTGACTTGGGAGGAACAGAAACATCCAGCCATAGGGACAGTTTAAACATTAGGAGCTAGTGACCATTGTCACTAAAGCGGTTTCTCCTGTTCATGCCCATTTTGCCCCTCTTTAGGGACCTGGTTTGACTATTTTCCTGGCAGGTCTGATGCAGGGCCTATGTTATAAGCTTTCCTGGCCTTCTTCTCATTTAAATGGAGGCAAGGCCAGTTACCAGTCAGGTCTGCGGTCTCAGGAGAAGGAGAATCTCCCACAAGTTCTCCTGAAGCTAATAAGGAAGGTGCTACCTTCCTCCGTGGGAAGAACGCTCTAAGGGCTGTCAGGGAGGTAGAATGTGCTCCCACAAGGGAGGGCGTACCTAAGGAAGGGATGCTCTTACAAGTTGTAACCAATGTCTTTTCCTCCATAAAGAAGTGATTTGTGGGGTGGCTATATGTGTCAAACACTGGGCTAGGTTTCTAAGATGCCGAGGGGCCCATTATCAGCTGCTAACTAAGGTCAGACTTCCATGTAGATTGAGAGGGAAAGTGTGATAAATGGCTTGCGCAATGTTGGAGGTAGGTGGGCAGTGGTGGAGATACATAGACAGAATCATTAGTGGGAAGATAAAATGTTTCAGCAAACGTCCTCACTAAAGAAGGGAAATTCATATCTTAAGGCTCACTGTCATAAAGACCTAGTATCTGGTCTCCTTTAAGTTAATATTTCTATTTGGTCCTTCATCCTTTTAGTCTTATTTACCACATAATTCATAGCAATATAAATGCTAATTCACATAAATATAATAAACACACTGCTACATTATAATGTATTTTCCTAATATATTACACATTTTCTCTTTTCTTACCTTCCTTTCTTCTCTCCTTCTTTTCTAATGAATATTAGTAATAAAAACAAACACAGATATAATGTTTACATTACCAGGCACTGTTTCCGTTTATGTATGCTCCTATTTATGTATGTCAAAGCTTATATATGTTAACTCATTAATTATCACAACAGACCAACAAGGCAGGTAGCATTATTATCCCCATTTTGCAAATGGAGAAACAGGTTCAGAGAGGTTGAATAGCTTGCCTGAGGTCACACAGCTTATTAGCAGTAGAGTGGGGATTGGTCCCCAGGAGTCCCAGGCCCTCTGGCTCTGAGTCTGTTTCAGCCCCGACATTGAATTGTCTGCAAATGTGTGGCTCCATAACCAAACCTGGACACTCCAGCCTCCTCTCGCTCAACAGAGTTCTCATGGATCTTGCCTGTTCTCACAGATTCAATGCAATCTCTTTGTTAACCACTAAAATGTGTATTCATGCTCACATATCCCATATATTTGTTTTGCTCCAGGTACTTATCCTCGGTTCCTACTGTAAATTTTTGTTCCAGCCAGCCCTTAGTTAGCTTTGGGACTCTGGAATTACCCTTGGTTCTTTCTTTTCATGTTCTGTATCCTCTTAAATGCACTACAAACTCTTCTCATGACCTCTCCTTGCCAACACCACCAGTGTTTGTTACTCTAAAGAGTTAATGTGGTCTCTGGGAGGACTGTCCCCTCCCTTCTCACTGGCACCCACTAAGCATTTGGTCAGGAGGCTGGTCGGAACCAAGGAAGCCACAGCGAGTGCCCTTCACAAGAGGCTGGTGCCCACCTTTCCACAGCTCTGATGCTGCTCCCATTGTCCCAGCCTCTTTCTTTTCCAACAGGCTGCTGACTTGTTATTTCCACAACAAGCAGTCGCTATGGTTTCAGACATCACCACATGGCATATGTCCCAGTTTCTGTAGGCGGTGCCCAACCCTCTCCAAGATTTCTTAGCTACTGTGGAAGTTAACCAGGCTCTAATAGATTTTCTCTCTCAGTGCCATAACCCTACCAGAGAAACCAGCCACAACCCTTCGGCACATTCTGAAATGATAGGGTCTCCTCTCACACACAGGGAGTTGCCTAACAGATAACCCCTGAGTTCTCCTGCTCATTAACATACAGCATCATGACCTGGAAACAATAGAACAAGTTTAAAAATTATTTGTGATAAACATTCATGTCAAATGCAGCCAAGTTTCCTTTAGGAAGCCTTGCATTTCTTTTGATAGCTGCTCCCTGTTAAGGGTGGTAAAATGAATTCTTTTAAGTGGATAATTTATGATCTTGCAACAGAGTAGTGAACGAGTCAAAAACAAGTCACAATATAGTAAGTTTAGAAAGCAAGTTATGAAAGGATGTCCAAATATGACACCATTAAAAATTAATTATAATTACAATCAGAAAAAGATTTTCTGTGTTTATCTAGAGGTGAAGATTATAGGTAGCTTAGATTTTCTTAGGGTTTTTTTCTTTGTTTCTCAAATTATTACCTTTGTATCTAATCAGATTCTTAAAAATTAATATTATACTATATAATAAAGAGGTAATATGCAAATTGACCCTAGCACCCTTGCACAAGATGGCCAACCCCATATAATCAAATATGGCCACCCCCATGTGGTCAAAATGGCCACCACAAGATGGCTGGCAGGGAAAGGTAGTTGTGGGTGATAAGGCTAGCAGGGGAGGGCAATTAGGAGTAACCAGGCCAGCAGGGGAGGGCAGTTGGGAGTGACCTAGCCTGCAGGAAAGGGCAGTTAGGGGTGACCGGGACAGTAGGGGAGGAGCAGTCATGAGTGACTGGGGCAGCAGGGGAGCAGTTGAGCATCAACTGACAGGGGAGTGGTTAGGGGTTGATCAGGCTGGCCAGCAGGCAAACAGTTGAGAACCAGCAGTCTGACTGCTGGTAGTTAGACATCCTCTGAAGGATCCCAGATTGGAGAGGGTGCAAGCTGGGCTGAGGGTCACCCTTGAGTGCATAAATTTCATGCACCAGGCCTCTAGATAAAAACAATAACAAATAAGTGGGTGGTTTCACCCTAAAGAGACTAGTTTCTAGCATATCCTAGTATTGTTTAGCAGTGAATAATTGGGTTGGGCAATTCCTTCAACACTCTGGGCTTTTCCCAGTCATCTGCTAACTGAGGGGTGAACTAAAGCCTTCGAGGGACCTTCTGATGCTCAAGTCCTATAATCCTGGGTTTGGAAAAGCTAGATCTATGAAAGACATTACACCACCCCACAGGGTGGGTGTGAGACCTGGAGTCCATCTATTTACTATACAACTCTTCCAAGCCTTGGATTATTTTTTTTTTCATTAGTAAAATGAAAGGCTTGGATCAGACATCCTCACCAGCCTCTGTTCTCCACATCAAACATTATGTGGTCCTATGAGTCAGATTGTGGCAAGGAAATAGCTTTGCAACTGATAGTGACTTATCGACAAAAGGTATAGTCTCTTCTCACATATGTTAGAGAATGAACATATGGGAGATGGCTACTGAAGTCATGTCATTGAAGAATACTGTTTGAAAATTTTGTTTCTCACCATCCTTAAGCAGGGCAGAGACAAACACAAGCACATATCTGACCTGGAGCAGCGCCTCTCCTCGGTGAAGATTACAGACTTCGGGGCCTATGAATTCCACAGCCTTAAGGTATCTCACCAACTGCTTCCTGAGTGACATGGCTTCTTCCCTCGGTTTAGTCACTATTTTGTTGTCTTTGTTCGTATCACAGCAAAGTGCAGGAGGGAAGCCCAGAGCTGGGCTGGGTTGGGTCGGCTTTCTCTAATGGCCAGGGAAACCTCAGGAAGGTCATTTCATCTTAACAAAAACAATGGGTGCCAGAGGCCTGTCCACATGTTAGCAGTGGTTACTCGTTCGCCTCAAGGCCTCAATTTCCGCGTCAAGAAATAGCTTGCTGTTGAGCCGACCACTTCTAAACGTTGCTAAAAACTTTAAAATTCTCATTTCATGTCATTAATTTCAATAAATTTTAGCAGGGAGGCCTGGATCAGACCTCCCAATTCTAAGTTTGGGGTTCTTTGAGGGTTTTTTTGCAATAAACTGAAAAAGGCTCATGAAATTCTCAAGCATAATGCAAAATAACATCAATGTGAATCCCTTCTTATTTAAGCTAAAAATAATGCATGTCTTGCATCCCAAAGCCACACAGAGAGAACTGTGGTTTGGGCAGCTGGAGGAGCCACTGCCGAGAGGCATGCTGGAGCCTGGGAAGGAAACCAGGCTTTGGGGGATGCTTGCGTGTTCTTGCCATACTTAGCGCAGGTCAGAGCTAATGGAGAACAGGTCAAGGTGGAAATGTTTTGTTCCTTCTTTCCTCCCATGTGCAGGGTAAGACCTGGAATGAAGTCATGGCAACACATCAGAAACTTCCTCCTGATCAATTAGACTTGAGAAAGCAGCAAGAGGCCATGTGGGAACTTTTCACAAGCGAATGCACTTATTTCTTGGACCATTTATTAGTTCTTAAGATGGTAATGCGGGGCTTACTTTTTGTAATAGATGGTAAATATTATTTTGATTTGGGTGGGGAGGGAATTTGTTTTCCTCTTTCACATGGAAAACAGAAAGTTGGGGGTGGAGGTCCCCTCTTTTAGGAGATCTTAAAAAATTGTATCTGCTGTTTACTATTATACTTGGTTGTCTCTTCTTTCTTTTCTTAAACATAGTCTGCCAGGATTGGAGGAGGTCTTCTAAGTTAGTCCAGCTCCCCATCTGATATCTGAATCGCCTCTACCTATTCTCACCATGTGCTTACACACCTCACTAGTCAGGGAGCGCAGAGCCATCCTGCAGGCACCCACCCCAGCCCTGGTCAGCTTCCACTTTCCAAGCTCTTGTTCCCCTGAGCAGTGCTGGGAGCATGTGTTTGATCAGCTGCAGGGCCACCGTCACAGATTCCCATCCACATGTAACGCAGTGGGGTTGCACAACATGGTATATTCGTAATGTCTACCAGGTAAATGGTGTCCCCGAGGTAGTGCAGGGCTGCAGCCGGATCTGATGAGGTTCTGAGCAAATAATCCTTATAGGAGAACCACAGGGCAAGGATGGCAAGGGAGACATTGCCTTCCAAAAGCACAGGGGAGGAAGAGCCATATTGCTCCCAAGCTTGACTCTGCCCATAAATACTTATGAATCCTGCCTACTATCTTGCACAGGAAAAAAAAAAAAAAAAAAAAAAAAAAAACACTGTGTAAAAAAGCACCTAGGGAGAACTAACTGCAAGTCCTGGCTCTGTTTCTGACTTGTCATGTGACCCTAGAAAAGCCTAGTCCTCCATTTCCTAAACCAGAGGTCAGCAAACATTTCCTGTAAAGGTCCTGATTCTAAATACAAGATGGGGCAATAGTAGGTTTACAGTTGTTATTCGTATGGAAAATAATATAGTAATTAATAATAATAATAATAATAATAATACAAGAATAAACCCTGTGTTTCACATACTCACAACTGGAAACCTACTGTTGCCTCTCCCTGTATGTTGGGCTTTGAAGACTCTGTGGTCTTTATTACAACTCCTTAGCTCTTCCATTGCAGGGTCCAGGAAGCCATGGGTAATTTATAAAGGAATGTGATAGCTGTGCTTTAATCGACATTATTTATGAAAACAGGTAGCAGGCCTGATCTATCCTGCAGGCTGTCATTTGACAATCCCTTTCCTAAGCTCTAAAAGAAGGATGACAATACCATTTCTGTCTGTCTCATTGGCATCTCAGCATTGTGATCATCAGATTAGTTTTCTTTGAAATCTATCAAGTGACATACAAATGACACTCATTATTTTCTGCAAAGCATTCTTCTGTCGATAAGTTGATCGTTGTTTAGTTTATAGACCCAGGGAAGATTATCTGTGAGGATTGCAATTCTTTCTTGACTTGCTGTAAAGTAGGCTCCTACTGTATGAAAGCATCAAATCAAGAAACAATAGCACAGAAGCTCCCTGAATGCTTTCATTCATAGTTAATGCTTTCTCCAAATTCAAGCATCTTACCAGTTACAGATATTAACTCATTAGTTCTCTTTTTGTACTTTCCTGCACTTAAGAGACATTTGGATCTTTTGCAGAGAAAGGTATAAATGAGAATTCAGCTTGGAAGTTGTTTTGGTCTCACATTAGTGCTATTGATAAGAAAGCCTGTGAGATTTCTTGACTCCAGGAGGCAGACAAAGCCCATCAGAACAGATTGTGTTCAACAGGAATGTTGTTAGGGCCCATGAATATTAGCAACAACACCGTCATGCAGAAGAGCACATTTCCCATATGTTCTATGCAGCTTAAATGTCACCATTGATATTTAGGAAAATTCTGAAACCTCAAAAATACTGATTTCTAAACTGGTTTGTAAAGTTGTGGTCAGGAGGTTTATGTTTGATGCTCTTGAAGAGGGCAAGTTTCAAAACTGAAAAACAGAAGGTAATCTGCATTTCTTTTTTTTCTTTTTTTTTTTAAGATCTTCATGAATACACTAAAATATCTACAAACCTGCGAATGTCTCCTGGATGTGGACTCATGGCGACTTTTTGCAAACCTGGAGGAGTTAAGTCAGGTGAGCCAAAGTAGAAAGACACCGGGAGACATGTTTAGAAATTCACCAAAGGGGCCATGAAAATGCATGTTTGTTCTACTCTTGTGGCTTGTATGTCACGCTGCAATACAGAATGTGGGTCATTCCCCGTATAGTATTATGATCAGGAAGTCAGGTTAATAAGAAGGAAATCTAAACATTCATTGATATCTTGCCAAGAAGTCACATATAACAGCCTTCAGTAGCATTTTTCATTTTAACTTGGCTGTTTAAGAAAGTAAACATATTCTCAAGATCTCCTTAACCTTCGTAAATGTTCTCAAATGAATGTCCTTTTCTCATATATTATAAATAAATAATATCTTTCCTCCAAAAGGAAGAGAAGAGAGATTTCAAAAAAAGAATTTATTTATATTAAGAAACTTATAAGAAAACGTATATTGAAAAGGAAAATAAATCTGAATCTTGCTGCCAAGAGGTAAATTGTAATGAGAAACAGCTGTAGAATGATATTTGAAGTTCATCAAATATTTATTCCTTCCCTTGGGTGTGTGCCTACTCTTGTTTCCTTTCTCTCTGGCCCTAGACAAGCTTTGGTTTTGTGAGCAGTCTCTTTGCCATCATCAAGGACTACTTCGATGCCCCTGAGACTTCACCACCCATGGATTTCATTTCCGTGCTCTCGAAGGTAAAATCCTTTCAATAGATCTCAGACTCAAGCTATAACTTCACCCTTTCTCAGGACAGCTGTTCACATCTATTGCTTTTTTGTGTTTGTTGTTTCTACAAAGGAACCATCCTTTTCTTTGCCAGCAGACATTTTCCAAAATAACTTGCAAACTCTCTTTTCCCATTGTCACCTCTGCCATATGGGTTTTATTAACACAGAAATGCACACACATGGAAAAGCCATTCCCAAGCCTGTCTCTTAAATGACTCCAATTTATAGCAGTTTTCATGGCAATAATTTGTGTAGGCCAATTACATGGTTCAGTTGTTCTTCTAACAAAAGTGTCAGTCTTTCAGACAAACACAAATAAATAAATAAATAAATAGCCCTTTAAACATATCATCACCCTTAATAGAACCTCTAGTCTGAAAGAAGAAAAGTCTGTGGCCCTGGTTTGTTAATGTTATTTACTTTTTTTTTTTTTACTTTGAGCTTTTTAGTCCAGTTTCTATCTATTCACATTTAGCAAGATTTGACTTCATACAATCCACTCTGGACTGAGATTTATTGAGCACTTACGAAAAGCTATGTGTGGGGCCAACACCCTGTGCACAACAATCTGCAAAACCAGACGTCCTCCTGCTTGTTTTCAATCTAGTGGGGGAGAGATTAATTTAAGAGTTACAGTAATTTCCTCAGTAATGCTGAGGAAAACAGGAGCACAGGAGCTGTCTTCATAACACCTATCCTACGGCAGTGGGTGGGGCAGTTACAGACAGGAAATTCTTCCTGGGGCAGAGATGCCGGTGGAGGAGTATATTAACAAGGCAAAAACACATAGAAAACTAGGTACAAACTAGGGAGATCCTCATGTGAACTTTGAAAACAGATTTGAATAAGAAAAACTTTGAAAAATAAGAGGAAGGCCGGGATCGGTTTGGCTCAGTGGATAGAGCGTCGGCCTGCGGACTGAAAGGTCCTGGGTTCGATTCCGGTCAAGGGCATGTACGTTGGTTGCGGGCACATCCCCAGTGGGGGGTGTGCAGGAGGCAGCTGGTCGGTGTTTCTCTCTCATCGACGTTTCTAACTCTCTATCCCTCTCAATTCCTCTCTGTGTAAAATCAATAAAAAAAATAAAAAAATAAAAAAATAAAAAATAATAAAAAATAAAAAGAAAAAAAAAAGAAAAATAAGAGGAAGAATGTAAAGTGTTGGGAAGTAGCTAAAGTCTTAGGTTCCTTCGATTTATTTAGAGTCAGACATTTTTTGAATTTAATTTTAAGTAAATAGTCCGGAGAAATGCCAACTTTTCATGAAAACATGTAAGCTGTCTTAGTCTGCTCAGGCGAAAACAAAGTATTACAGGCTGGGTGGTTTATAAACAACAAATTTTTTTTTTACAGAGTTTGGAGGGGGGCAGTCTGAGGTTAGATGAGGATTCCCTTCCAGTCACGACTTCTCATTGCATCCTACCTGCGGAAGAGGCTAGGGAGGCCTCTGGAGGCTCTTTATAAGGACATTAATCTGATCCATGAGGGCTACTTTGTGAATGAATCACCTCCTGAAGGCCCCATTCCTAATACCATCACTTTGGGGATTAGGATTCAACATATTAATTTGAGAGGGACACAAGCATCCCACCATAATGTAAGCTCTTATAGCCTCCTAAGCATGGGATGTTAATATATTCTTTATTAAAGGTCCATAATTCAGCCCACATATATATGCTTCATGTTACAGGCCTGCAAAGGTTGGGTTACACAAGTGTTTCCTTATGGAAAAGGTCCTTTATCAGTCAGGTTAGATCTGGTTGTATCAGAGTAACCATCCCCAAATCTCAGTAGCTTGGTTCCTCTCTCCCCTGTGCCTACCCCTTCCTTGTCACTGCCCTCTCTCTGGGACCCAGGCTGAGGGAGCAGCAGGGAGATGTTACCCGTCTGGGGAGACTGGGCAGAGCACTCAGACTCTCCAGGTTCTGCCAGAAGCAACACATGGCAGGTCTGTTCACATTTCATCAGCCAAGTTAAGGCACATGGCCACACTCACCTTCAGCAGAGGGGTACCTAGAATCCTCCCCAGGAAGGGAAAGCAGGCGAACAGTACGGCAGCCGCACAAGAAGCCGCACAGATGGGAGACTGGAGCATTTTGTTGTTCACACATGACTCATGTGAGCAAGTCACTGAAAAGGAAACGGAGGCTTGAGAGGTCAGATCATTTGGCCAAGGCCACAGAGCTGATACATTGTAGAACCGAGTCTCTAAGCCTGACCACACATGATTGTAACCATTGCCTCCTGGAAATGACGTTTCTCAAGCATCTCCATGTCCTTTCTCTCTAAGCTACCAACCCCTCCACCTCCAAAAATAAATTTACATCATCGTGTTTTCTCCTCTGTCTTACAACAAAATACTTGTCTAGGTTTTCGTTATCTCTGCCTTTATTGCTGCCACTTCCTTTAGTGACTTTTTAGGCTGGGTCTGTTTTCTCTACTAAATGTAGTTATAACATTGCCAACAGTGTGTCTTCCTTATCTTATTCTACCACATGATGACACTATTAGACATTTATCAGTGGGACCCATTACTCATTACATCAATCATATAATAAATCAAGGAGTACATGGGCTTAGCAACACGGCAGGCACTGTGAGACCTTGAGGAGAGTGTCTGCCAGTTAAGCTTTGGTGAAGAGAAAAGAATAACTCACTCACTCCCGAGAAAGACACTTACCTGAGACAGGGCACCTTATGTGGGCTGCTCCGTTTGACCATTGCATAAATCTGTACATACACTTAGGAGAGGTCTTCGAATTAGACTCTACAGTTTCAGAAGCCAGCAGGAGAATTACATTTATGGACATTTTTTAGGAAAAGTTGATGAAAATTAAATGTTGTTACTTACTACCAACACAAACCTAACATCAGCCAACATAAGCCCGGACGTCAACAAAGCATAAACAGAAGCAAAAGGTAAATTAAATCAAGACACCCTAAATAGAGTTTTAAGTAGGATGGGGCGGAGGGTGATTAATTGAGGCATTAACTGTGTCTTATGGGAATACTATTTTTTTTAAAGAGTGTTCATTGTGAAGATAACATGCTCCTAGTCACACGGCCGGCCGTACTGCTGCTACCGTAGATAATGCTGCCCGCCCCCCTTCCCTGTGCCAGTCAGTGATGGCCGCGAAGGGAAAGAGGCCCCCTGCCCATACCCTCCCTGCTCTTCTCTTGCAGTATTTCCGAGGGAGCCTCTGTCAGAGCCACCAGACCTACTGCCTGAACTACTCGGCTGCCATCTTTTACCTCGAGAGCCTGAAGCAGAGAGAGGACTTTGGAACTTACTTAAAAGTAAAGTACCATCTTCTTTTCTTTTATAATTTTCCTGAGACTCTTTGGGATATAACAGGTCCTAGGAGTTATACCCAAAATAAGTGAGAAAGAAGAACAATCAAGGATCAACAATACACTTGAACTACAAATCTGCTTTCCTCATCAACACATTTTTCCACTGCACACCGAGGAGGAGGGTTAAATGGTGCACATCTGGAAACATCGTATCATCTAATGCCTCTCCTGAATTTTTGGCAGGGGGAGCGGGAGAGGCTTACCAATGTCTTATTTGTTCATTGGTGTGTTTGTGAACGGAGTCGGTACATTGTAAGGAGAAAGCTAGGATAAGAATGAGGTTTTGTGACTAGAACTTTGGCTCTTGTAGGATTTGGTCCCAACAAGATTCTGCCACACACAAGCTTAGAGGAGCGCTTCCATTGTATTCTGTGCGAAGGGCGCCCCCTGGAGTGCTTCAGAGGGTACAATGCAGAGGCTGCCCCTGAAATTGTACAACATGGTGGCTATGGATTCCAAAGCACCAGAGCCACATATTTCTGCTAAGGAGAGTCAGCATTTGCTAATAAGCTGACACGGAAAGAATTGTCCTCGACTTCACCAGTTCCTTTGATCCCTCTTTGGACATTGCATTAGTATGGACCGTACCTTTCCAGTATTATGCCAGAGCTCTTTTTTATGATCCAGAGAGAATTGTCCGAGCCTTTTCAGAAAACTAGCTCTCCTGGCAGTTACAAAGCCCCCTCGGAGCACAAGCTCAGAGGCCGGGGAGGAAAGGCTGACTGGGTTCCAGGACTTACCTGTGGCCCGACTGTTATCTCTCTGCCTTTATAGCTGCCACTTCCTTAGTCTGAGTGCTCTGCCCAACACTCCCTAGACCAGTAACATTCCCCTGCTGCTCCCTCAGCCTGGGTCCCAGAGAGAGGCCTGAGTGCAGCGTGGCTGAGAAAAGAGGATAATCTGGGGGGGAGGAGGGGGGGAAACCTGGCCTTATTTTTGGTAGCTTCAACCATTCAGTGTTTTCTTGGCTACTCAATAAAAACCGAAAGCTCATTAGCTCTCCAGATGTCTGAATAACCCTGTCACACAAGTTTTCCCCGGAAGCTGATGATTAGACTCCCAGCCTGGCCCCTAAATTGGAGAAGCCAGTTCCCTGTCTCTGTCTTCCAAGACAGGGCAGAGGTTAATGGAACAAGGCACAGCCACCATTTTCAACGGGCTGTGGAAAATACCATACCAGTTGTGACATAGTAAGGTGGTTTATAATTTTATATGAAATATACAAGGCATCCAAAGATAACATATAATTATAACGCATAATCCTTTACCAGGCACTGTCTCAAACATCTCTTTTAATCCTTGGCACAGAACTTTGACATTGATTACATTGTCCCCATGTGTTCCTGAGGCTCAGAGAGGTTATATGGTTTTTTGCAAGGTCATGTGGCCAACAGGTGAAAAAAATGAACACACATACACACAAAAAAAACAAAAACAAAAAAACAACAAACAAACAAAAAACACAAGTTCTCTTTCCACCAAAATTATTTACAGCTCCTCAGGGCTATTTCCCATCACTTGGAAACTGTGAGCATCATGAAACAAGTGAGGGGTCAGGAAGGGGCTACAGAGGAATTGAAGGTGAGCCTGCCTTCCACAGCCACATAGTACAGAACAAAAGCATTGTCACAGGAAGTTAATAATAATCTAACCATAACCTAGTAAATATAATGCTTATTATATAACTAGAGGCCCAGGGTATGAAATTCGTGCATGGGTCGGGGGGAAGGGGTAAGATGCCCCTCAGCCCAGCTTGCACCCTCTCCAATCTGGGACCCCTCGAGAAATGCCCAACTGCCCATTTAGGCCCAATCCCACTGGGCAGTCGGACATCCCTCTCACAATCCTGATTGCCCCTAACTATTTCTGCCTGCCAGCCTGATCACCCCCTAACCACTCCCCTGCCAGCCTGATTGATGCCTAACTGCTCCCCTGCTAGCCTGTTTGCCCCCAACTTCCCTCCTCTGCCGGCCTGGTCACCCCTAACTGCCCTCCCTTGCAAGACTGGTTCCTCCTAACTGCCCTCCCCTGCTGGCCATCTTATGGTGGCCATCTTGTGTCCACATGAGGGTAGGATCTTTGACCACATGGGGGCAGCCATATTGTGTGTTGGAATGATAGTCAATCTGCATATTACTCTTTAATTAGATAGGATAGAGGCCTGGTGCTAGCTGGTTTGCCCTGAAGGGTGTCCAAGATCAGGGTGGGGGTTTTCTTGGGGTGTGGGGTGGCCTTAATGAGGGGCCTGTGGTGGTTTGCAAGCCGGCCATGCCCCCTGGTGATCCAAGCAGAGGCCCTGGTATCTGGAATTTATTTATCTTCTACAATTGAAACTGTAGCTTGGAGCAGAGCCAAGCCTTCTGCTTGCTCCATGGCTGCTGCCATTTCTGTTTGGATTTGTTTACCTTCTATAATTGAAACTTTGTAACCTTTAGTGGAGGCCTAGGCTGGCAAGGGCAGGCATTGCCTGGGAAACCCAAGCCTCACTCCTGCTCTCTGTGGCTGTAGCCATCTTGGTTGGGTTTATTTGCATAGTCGCTCTGATTGGCTGGTGGGCGTGGCTTGTGGGTGTAGCAGACTGGTGGTTAATATGCATATTATTCTTTTATTATGTAGGATAATTGCAACGTACAGTAAGTAATAATAAAGGGGGCTGGTTTTCAAGCTCTTGCTTTAACCAGCCACTGCTGGTCATCTATGATCTCTTTGTCTTCACCAGGGGCAGAGAACCTTTCTCTGCCAAGGGCCATTTGGATATTGATGACATCCAAAATTAACAACTTAAAAATTATGTTGCTATGAAAAAAGCTCCTAGATTTGTTGAACTTGGAGTCCTGTCTGCGGTTGCTTTGGCAGAGCCAGACCCAATGACACAGCCCGTGGGCCAGATGCTCCCCACTCCTGGTCTACACAGCAGCCCTCTGGAATGCAATAGCATCTCCATTATTCAAGGATTTAGGTGAATTGGGCAACCAGCTGAAACAAAGGGTTGTTCAGGGAAGAGACAGGATTTGATTCAGACATGTCTGAAGCTGACCTTCATTCTCCTACTGTGCACTGGCATAAACAACGTCAGTGGAAAATGTAAACCTGTTGTTGTGTCATGGGCCGTCAGAGTGGGGCTATGCATCTCTGGGATGAATGTACCCTCCCTATCAGGCGGGGCTGGCTCTTTGAAGGCCTGTGCAGTATGCTGGTGCACAGTGATGGGAGTAGAGTTCTCCCTTCTCTGTCAGAGACAATCAAAAGCATGCAGAGAGTACTTTGTACCAGGGCTCTTCGGGGGATCCTGTTAGCAATCACTAAGAACTCTTTGGACTGAATGTCCGAAAGGTGCCAGCCACTGTTTGAGGCACTTTGCATGGATTCTCAATAAAACCTCTCACTAAGCTGCTGAGGTCATCATTCCTGTTACCCACATTTCACAGATGTGATTTGTAGAGTTTAGGTAAATTTTCCAAAATTCTAAGAATGGCTGCCCCAGCACAGTGTTGCATTCCACCAAGACAGATTTATGAGGAGAATGTTTTTATATGTGTTCCCATGTGCCCCTGGGGCTCAGAGAGATGATATGGTTCACCTCAATGGGCCCCTGAATTCCTTTCCCTGTTACCCTAAACATACTGGACATTTATTATAAAGCAAAAGCATCCTTCATTGATCTAGGCCTATCCATAAAAAGCCTTTTATGTCCAATCTCTCTTGACAGAGATGTTCTTTTTTCCCTCTAATGGGTCTGAAAATTAAAGCCATTGGATGAAAGAAAAATTTATACCTACTTTTAGAATCATCAAATGTATTTTTTCTCTCTTCTAAGGCTTCTGAAACACTAAAAGCTTCCAATATTCCTGCCTGGATCTTTGTCTCAATTATTTACCACTGGTGCTTCATGCCAGGCTGGTGTCTGGGGTAAATCGGGTGTTTTCACATGTGCTCAGGATTATGGCAGCCAGAGCTGTTTTCAACGGCGTGGAAATTTGGGGCAGTGGCCCTGGGCTGTGTTTTGAGGAAATACCTAACTGCTTCTCAGAAATCAGTTACGGGAGCTCCCAGACACCAGAGCTGGAATGCTGCTGCCAGTGAGACAGGATGGAAACCAGCCACTGAGACCACAGGCTACGGCCTCTCCACACCCCTTCTTTCCACCTGTTACCACGCCTGGCTTTCCCACATCTGCCGTTCCTGCTTCCTTCTCCGTCTCTCCCAACATCAGTGAGAATCCCAGCCACTGTGAGCCAGGTGAGAATGTGGGGGTGACCTAGTGCCTCCCGCCAAGAGGAATCTGAAGCACAGAGAAGGGTCCCTCAGAAAGCCTTGAAGCCTGGCTTCTCGAGCGCCATCCACCCTCCAGCCTCCGGCCTGTGCTCACTTTCCTGGCCTGCCTTCTGCATGCAGGGAATGGAGAAGGTCACGCCCAGCAGAATCCCCGTGAGGAAGAATCCTGGGTGTTTTCAAAAGAAATACTTTGATGAAGTTCCTGGTGGGAGAGGGTGAACCCCCCAAGGACATGTTCAAGCTGTGAAAGACAGGTGCAAATTGCTAAATGTGAGGGTAGGGGAGAAGGGTAGCTGGAGAGGGGAAGAGAGAGGAAGAGCAGCTCTCTCTTTTCAAAGAAGAAAATGGCACCATCAACATGGGTGGGGATGATGCCGTGGGCTATGTATTTGACCCCTCCCCACAACCCAAAGAATTCAATAAACATGTTCACTCATCAAACATTTGGCACGAGTGGGATTACAATGGAAAACAGCATAGGACACCAACCAGGGGGCTACGTTTGGCATCAGTGGGCACATGCTGTTCATGGGAGAGAGAGAGTGTGTGTGCCAGCAGGGACCAGAGGAAGCCATTCTAATATCAATCATTCCATAAATCTGTAAATACCTCGAGAGAGCTTTGGACTTGGTGGGGAGTTGAGCCAGCTGCACCTAGATCTCTAAAACACAAGGGAAGACACCTGGGCACAAAGATGTGCGACGCTATGTTAGAGGGAGCCTCCCGCAGTGTGTGCCTAACGCTGGCCCTCAGGGTCTGAGTCACAGGCAGAGGAGATACCCTGGGCCTGGCTGGAGCCTGACCTGCAGAAAGAGCTGAGAGCCTAGTGCGAGGGCAGGACTCCCTCAGAGCTGAACTCAGGTGTGAGGGTGTAGGGGGAACAAGAGAAGAGGAAGAACACACACCCCGTAGCAATACCTTTTGGTGTACCGAGAGGGGCACAGCAGCCAGAGACCAGACTCCATGAGTCATGTGTCCTCTGCACAAAAGCCAGGCCCCTCAGGTTCAAATCAGCATCACACTCAAATAAACAGCCAACAGATGAAACACAGTTATGAGCCATTCTCATGATTAGTTGCATCTGTCAAATACCATTTATAGAAATCAACTGTGTAACCCACAGCAGTGCTTACTAGAGCTCCTTTCCCTGTCTCCCCGGTGCTTTGCACACCCTGCAGCTGCCTCGTAGTCAAACTCTCTCTATTGAAAACTGTGTCTTTACCCCTTCCCTCTCCCTCTCTCCTCTGTAGCGTGTAGCTCAATTTAGCCTCCTCAACTTGTATTCATTTTTTCATATTATCCTGATTCCCTTCAAGAAAGGAGAGTCAAGGAACTGATTCAACAAGCAAAAATCCTTCCTTTTCCCTCCATCTGTTGATGCTTAATTCTCCTAATTGTGCCTCACAATGAGAAATAGAGTGTGTGTGTGGGGTGGGGGAGCAAAAACAGAAATCTCCTGGAGGGCCAGTGAGAAGGAGACGCTGGTGGGGAAGCCAAACTCTTAGGTGAGAAGGGTCTAGGAGACTGGCACACGGACAGTAATACCTCTTATCACTGCCAGGGAGGGAACATAAGAAATGTTAAACTGTGCCTCTTCATCTTGATAAGTTCCCCACTTAGGAGGATAGAGATGTGATGTTACATTGATGCTGAGTGTGCCTTCTTCACCATCACTGGGAAGGCAAGACAGCCGGAGAAGGATTCTCTCTTCTTTGATTGGAAAGTAACAGTGTTAGTAATATTCAACAGTCCCTCTCAACCACATCTAAGAACCTCATTTCAGACCCTGAATTTGCTAGAGACACTTTAATAAGGATTTTCAAAGGCAACGCCTGGTCTGTGGCTTAGAAGCTTCCCCAGCAAGCTCTCGGTTGCATCATGTTGTCACCAAGTGAAAGAGCTGAGAGTGTTTCATGCCCAGGCTTCTCGGGGCTTTGACAGGAGAAGTGACCTTGTGATTCTGTCTGCGTTCCCTTCCCCAGTGGTGCGAGCAAAATGAACAGTGCAGACGGCTTCGCCTGCCTGAGCTGCTGGTGGCCCCACTGCACCGGCTGACCCGGTACCCCTTGCTGCTGAAGAATATCTGGAGAAGGAGTACAGACTCCACTGAGAAAATCATGATCTACTCCATCAAGGAGAAGGTGGAAAAGTCCATCCGTAAGTCCCTGAGACAAAGACCCAGCTCAGTGGAAGCTGAATGGAAGGGTTGGGGATGATCTTGGGAATGATCTGAGCTTCATCCTAGAAGGCAGTTCCATTGACTTGAGGTTAAGGCTCTGGGAAATCAAACACACACACAACAATGGGTTCCAGGCACATCCTGGCGATCCCTGCGAGAACTCGGCAGAAGTTTACGCAGGACGTGGCCGTCTCCAAGGCTTTCTCATGTGTGAGTTCAGGCAGGAAAAGTCCTGCTTCCCATAGTTGAAGGCTTTGTTTTTCGTATCCATGCTGAACCCAAACACAAAGCAAATAGGAATAAACACCACGGGGGCTCTTTCCGGAGGGAAATTACCATTCATTATTTTTAGGTCACCGAAAGCCTGGGCCAATCTAAAAATAATGCCAACTGCAGTCTTTAGAACTGAAATTTGGGGTTGGGGACAGAACAACCGTTTGGTGAGTTAAGTTTATTTGGGTAGCTCTGTATAATTAAATTCAAATAAAGAAGGTTATGATATATGCCCACAGACCAAGATTTCTTGGGAATGTCAAAAGGGAGCAATTCAAGTTTATGATTATCAGCTGTACAGAAATGAGATATTTATTTTTTCTTCTGCAAGTTTAAAAGTAAAATGACCATGCAATGGGAGTTTTTAATTTTTTGCTCAAATTCTAAAATGACTCGAGGAACTGGAATTAAACTTATCAACTGAATAAGACAAAAATTCAATTAAAAATAGACTTTAAAACTTTTAAAGTAATTTGAAGATTATTACTCATTTTAATAGCTTTGTGAAGAAGATAATAGCATTTTTTTCTGCAGATTTCTCAATAATACATGGATTTTTATTGTTTGGGAAAGAGATTGCTGTGGCCTTCCTTTAAGTCTATGAGCTTAAAGAGAATGAATTCTCAAGAATTCCCCCAACCATGTGATTCTACTATGGGTCTATGATTTTCCCTCCATGGTCCCCCAATAACTTCAAAACCTCAATAACAATGTTATTATAAATGTAGGAAAATTAATACAACCCTTCACACAAAAAAAGTTTTTGCCAAAACAAAATAATTATCTTTATCACGAAGCAAAAGTATGTTTTATAATTAGGACAAAAATATATGTTGGCCCTTTTTCTCTTCCTCTAATTATAGGCTATGTGGTGTAGGGAATAAGAGAAAGCTACCAGGGACTTTACTTGTATTATTTAAATAAAAATGCATAATACATCTTACTTTATTAAATTATTTAAATTGTATTTCTCTTTGCAGGATGCTGATTTCAAATTAGTGAGTTTTTCTAAGACATTTAAACTGCAAGCACTATGTTAAATGAAACTAAGATATGGTTTGGTTCTGGGGGCAGTGTCTAAATTATTACTGCACATCTTGGTTAAAATTGATGCTGTTATGTCATGTGAATTTAAAAATATATTGAATGTGCCTTGTCTTTCAGGGGATCTTGAAGGAAAAGTGAAGTGGCTTGACAATTTTCAAAAATGTAGACATCTACAGGAGATTATAGTGTGGCCTCCACTTTGGGATAGAGATAAAAGGTTTTTCATTCCTGAGGTACAAAAAGGATCCATTGGAACTTATGTTTGGCATTCCACTAGGAATACACTAATCTTTACTAAGTTCCCAGCTGTCCACTTGGATATTAAATCTAGTTTTATGAGCAAGAACTACAGCTTTTTACCACGTGGCCTTGTATGTGGGGAGGCTGACATCATCACGCCATTCTTGGGGTGTCCTTCTGAGAGGTGTGCTCATTCCTTCCCATCCCCGTGTCCATCTCCCAACATTTCTAAATGTCTTGAACTTTATAGACAGAGTGCACTGCCCCAGCTCCTGGAACCTGTCCTCTTCCAACCACTAACAACCTCTCTTTGGTTTCCTCTCTTGTTTTGCAAGTGCCTGAAACATGTTTTTAAAGAGCACATGGCAGAAAACATCCTGTCACCAACCAGCAGACACCTTCTCTATGAGGGAAAATTAACTCTTGCCGGTAAGTAGCTTCTTTCTTGAAAGACCCAACATCTTTGCTACCATGTAACTTGTCCAATTGTTGCTAATTGAAGAGTGTCAAGAATTGTGTTTGCCTGTGGCCAAGGCCATGGAAGATGTGAGTCAGAGAATACGCTCTGGACTCACACACGTGTCAGTTTGATCAAAGACTTCACAGCATAACTAGCTGTGTGCCCTTCATTTTCTATCTATAAAATGGGATAACTATTTCATAAGGTGGTTGTTAAATTGGAACACATGAAGAGCTTAACTCAAGGTTGGGAATATAATAAATAAACACTCCACATCAGCTGCTATCATCATTTTACACCTCCAATGAGCTGGGCAATCATCCCCTCGGTGTTCATTGAGAACCTGCTATGTAACGTGTTGTGCTAGGCAGGTATCACTGGAGGATATAAGGTCACTATTCTGTATAATCCTCGTCCTCCAGTTGGGAAGCTCTGCTGTAACGAGCAGATCTGCAGGATAAGTTCAGGAGAGAGAGAGAGAGAGAGAGAGAGAGAGAGAGAGAGAGAGAGAGAGAGAGAGAGAGAGAGAGGGAGAGACTGTGGAGCCAGAGTACCCAGGAAGGGCTTTATGTGCTCCATGGGAATAGAGGTGGGCTTGAGGGGGACAGAATGGTGGAGGTCAGTGGAAGGACCTCCCAGATGAACAGCAGGGCAGGAGAAAGGGCTCGGAGGCAGAAGCCACCTGGGAGAAGAGGCTCTGGCGGAGTGGTTAGGAGAGGGAGCCCTGGAGGCTGGCTGCCAGGCCACTTCCCAGCTCAGCCTTTTCTGCCTGTGTAACCTTGGCCCATATACAGGAATCTCCCCGCATTGTCATAAATGAGCTAATGGATGTACAACCACTGAGAAAGGTAGACACAAAATCAGTGCTCAATAAATATTCTCATCAGAAAAGGCTGCCTGACCAAACTAGGATTTGTATTCATTCATTCCTTTGTTTCTGCACAAAATCTTGATTGAGCACCTACTGTGTGAGAAGCCCTATGGGATGTGAGGTTGCCTATTTATGGTAGCATGAGATCTGGCGGGGAGAGTCAGGCAATAACTCTGTATTCAATACACAGTTGTTGAGAGTCTGCTATATTTTAGCTCTGCACGTCAGAGCTAAAATGTGACCCCTACCTAGCTAGGGATGGTAGACATGCCCGGCATTTTACATCAAAGGACTTTTGCCCTCATTTTCTCCTTCCAGTGAGTTATCAGAAAAGTTACACTTAATCCCAAATTATAGGTGAGAAGTATGAGGCTCAGGGAGATTCTGTATCATGTTCAAAGTCACCCGGAGGTTAACAACAGAGTCCAGGCTGCCTCAATTAGTGGGCTTCCAGAATCACAACACCTGGCTGGAAGATGAACAGAAGGATCCAGGAAGGAAGTCACCAGTGACAGGTGATAAGCTTAGAAAGGTGCCTGTGAAGGAAGAGTCATCAGAAACAATGCACAGAATGGCGTAGAGAAGGAGACCAAAGCAGAGAGACCAGCCCAGAAGCTCCGCAGTGAAGCAGGGTGAGGCGAGATGACCCAGAGCCTGTGTTTCCCACCCACTCTTCACCTCTACCAGGGGGTGGGGAACGTCCGGCCTCCGGGCCACATAAGGCCTGCGAAATCGTTTGGTCAGGCTCTGCCCAGGCATTAGGGGGGTGAGTTAATTAAATGGTTGACCAAACATAGCAGGCTAATTTTTAAGTTGATAATTTTATATTTTATATGGCCACAGATAATTATAAATATGGAAATGGCCTTCGGCAGAAAAAAAAGGTCCCCTATCCTGCTAGATCACCACCCTTCCACTTTCATTTGGAAAGATAATGATTTTACATTGTCCTTGATGTTATTTACAATTTTAAAATGTATATATCATGACAAAATCAAATCAAAATAATGAAGCAAAGCACAGCTCTCTGTTCAAATATATGCCTTGCACTCCAAAATTGGCCTCCACCTGGAATTATTAGAAGTTTTAATCCCCTCTATCTACCAACTTCCCAACACTGGGATATGTGCTAGCACATCCTAAAATGTTAGACGTGAGCCTGGATAGAAAAGGATAAACGTGAGAGATATTTCAGAGGCAAAAATAGGAGGACTTTAAGACTGGCAAAATGGCCAAAGAGAAAATGAGTCAGTGCTTTCCAGTGTTGTACCTGAAAGTCCGGTTGACCACACTGAGGGAGGCAGAGGGAGGGGGTCAGGGAGGCAGTCTTAGGGGTCAGGTGTGGGCAGGATGAGAAGCCACATGGAAGTTGGGTGAACAAGGCAATGACCAACTCTGGTAAAAAGCTATGTTAGACGCACATCCACAGGTCACGTGGCTTTGGGGTGCTTGTGGGTGGGAGACTGACCTACAAAGGAGTCTTTACAAAAAGACCCAACTTTTCAGAAAAAGTTTCTTGTAGAGTCAAATGTGGGAAATGAATATGAACCTCATCAACATCACTACCTCCAGACACTTGCTTAATGCCATGTGCTGTGTGGCTCAGATGGCACCGGAGAGGAGGCAGCATCAAGTTTAAAGTCACGGGAACGTGGACCCGGAGTTGGCGTGGAGATATGGTGGGGGTGGGGGTGCTAATGTTAGAAGAAATGGGACATCATTTTGAATGAATAAAGCATTAGACCAAGAATGATGATACCTAACCCATACATTTTGTTTCCAAATTTATTTCAGCTTTAAAAACTGTACTAGTCTAACCAAATAAGTGTATTTTCTCATTCCCAGAAAGTACAAATTTTTATAACTTCAAGCATCACCAATTTCTCATTGGAAGCCATGCCAGAATACCCTTGGCAACTGTGTTGCTCCACACAGATTGGCATTTCTAAATAGGAAAGTGAGTAAGGTGCAGACAGACAGGATGGCCTGACAGCTGTGACACTGAGAGAACACATGCTGTTCAAGCTGCTGCAGCTCGGAGTGAGGCAGAAACCAGCTCCCTTCTGAGCAGTGTGATGAAGCCCCCGCCCGGACTCCATGAGGAAAAATAAAGACGTTTCAGACCTGGCTGTGCAGCACTTAGCTAAACAGAATCTCAGACTCGCAGTGCTCATGCGTTACATCTCATGAAACCACTTGGTCAAGGTGTTTCACTGGCTGTAATAGCTTCCAGCTGCCTGGTGACAAATGTGAACAGCCTGATTTTATGCTTACAGTCTTCCTCCTTAACCATCTCCTTTTGCCTGACCATGTCTACTGGTTAGCACTACCCATTTCTTAATGTATCTTATCTTAAATCTTGTTTACATGTTCGTAATGTGTCTGCTTTCCATAGGATTAAAGCTCCTTGGAGGCAGAGTCTTCTTAATCATTGGCACAAGGTGGGGAGTCAGCATCTGTTGACTACTTGGTGGGACCACGAGGGATTCAATAAATAGCTAAAAAAAAAAAAAAAAAATCAGCAGTTCCTGGACTATTTTGTAGGACATAGCAGATGCTTGCAGCTTGTTTGTTAAAATAAAATACTTAAAATTAGCAAGAAAATAAAACTATTTCATTTTGACAATCATCATCAACCTAATCTATATCTGAATGGCACAGAATGGGGAAAACAGCATTTAACCCTCCCAAAGGTCTAATGTCATCCAATACCTCATTCCTAGTGCCATGTCTGTATTAATTAAGATGTTGGTTCAGCCGTTGGACAGAGAGATAACCATCGCTTCAAAAGACAAGTCTACTTCTCTGGCATGTAACACTGGGAGCTGTATGACAGCTCTCCTCCACGGCGCCATTAGGGACCCAGGTTTCCTCTGCCTTTTTGCTCTGCCATCCCAGGTGCTGCTTTCTTCCGTGTGGTCCCAGAGGAGTCTCAGGGTGTCTAGCCGGTGTCTAGCCGGTATCTAGCCGGTGGGAAGGGGAAAAAGACAGGAGAGCAAAGCCCAGCTGTTTAAGGAAATGAATCACAAGTTGCATACTTTTGCTCTATTCCATTGGTTGGTGGAATTTAGTCACTTGGCCATATTTAGCTTCAAGGGAAGCTGGGAGATGTGGTATTTATTTGCAGGGAATATGTTCCCATTAAAACTCAGAAATTTCATTACTACAAAAGAAGGGAAATGTTTTGTTTTGGTTTTTTTTTTAGGGACAATCAGCAGTTTTTGCCATAGGCTGATTTGGGGGGGGGGGGGGGGGGGGGGGGGGAAGTCTCTAGCAGTGATGGAAAACAATGTTTTTAAAATATTTAAGGATTGAATAAAATATTTATTAAAATATTTAAGGTTGAATAAAAGGTCTAATTTCTTTTTTATGCAAATATGGAAAGAATCTTTACTTCAAACTTAAAGAAGTGGAGGAAATAGAAATGAAACCTAACCATTTTATCTACTAATTTAATCTTAGTCCCCTAGTTTTCAGGGATAAAACTATATGAAAAAGAACTTCTAAAATAATATAAATGAACAAAGTAAATAGAACAATGAAAAATATTTACTGATTTTAAAAATATTTACTTTACTGATTTTAAAAATATTTACTTTACGTATCTGTCACATTCCCCTCTGGACAGACTGTCTTTTCCTCTGCAATCACTTAAATTTAACTATTTCTCCTGCTAACTTCTATGTTATAACGTTAGAGAAGGGGAAACCCTATTCTAACATTTGATTTCTCTTCTACCACTGGCCCTTGCCTAGAGAAAAGTAGAAAAGCCTAATTGCCTTAAGTTACTATCAAAAATTATATTAAAAAAACATTTGTAAATATAAAGCTATGTGAAGGATATTTGAACCTGTAAGTTTTGCAAAAAAAGTAGTTGTAATGATTGCCTTAGTCAGCTTTGACCGCCATAACAAAGCACCATACCCTGGGGGTTTAAGCAACAGAAATTCATTGCTCACAGTTCTAGAGGCTGAAGGTCCAAGGGCAAGTTGCCAGCCTCATTGGCTTTCTGGTGAGGCTCTGCCAGGACCCCTCCTGCTCCAGTCCACACAATGGCTCTCTCTAGTCTCTCCTCTTATGACACTAATCCATCTGCATTAGGGCTCCACCTCAAGCCCTCATTTATTTTCATTTCCCCATTCCCCAAACAGCCACACTGGGGACTTAGGACTTAATCATATGAATTGGGGGAGAGAGCACAATTTGGTCCACAGCAAGGACAAAATGCCCTTTTTGGGGTAATGCTTACCTTTGCCAATGGCCTCCCAGATGAGTCAAGAGGCAAAAATGCTGTAAGTTTAATGAACTGAGAGATTTTTTTTTTAGCTTTCTTTGAAACCATTACAATCATCATCCAAGTTATCTTAGGTCCATGTGACACACATCACAAATACAATGTCTTTAGAGCTGTGAGCTTGAGCTCATGCCACGTCTCTGCTTTAAGGAAGAAATCGTTCAGTGCCCTTGCAGGTTTCTGATCCAGGTGAGCTGATGCCCCGAACTGCTGGCCTGATGTGCCAGGAAGCCCTGCTCGATTTGTCTCCTAAGGAATTCTTTGGTTTAAATAACAGAAATCCTTCTACTTACAATTTCCAAACCCAGTTTCACTTTCTTTCTCTCCACAGAAAGTACCAGATTCCTAGATGTTTATCTGTTTCTCTTTAATGATTTCCTCTTAGTTACGAAAACTAAGCGCAACAAAAAGGTAAATTCTGCTTTTTCTTAATAAGTCTGCTAAATATGTTCAGAAATATTTCTAAATAAGTTGTGTTAAAAATACAAAATGTTTTCATACATCAAATTGGGATTCACCCTCTAAAAATGGAAATATTACAAAATATTGGCATTTTGTCAATAACAAAAGCGAGTTACATTTCTTAAGGATGTCAAAGGATGTGTACATTTTTAGCATAACTTGGTCTATATTTTTTTTAGGGTAAGTCCCAAAGGCCACAGGACTATTCCTGGCCTGCCTGATCAAATACAACCCAATGCTTTTGTCCACATTGGTCCTTTCCCCTCACCCAAATTACCCAAATTGTTTCCAGTGAATGCTGCTGGGGTGGGGGAGGGGAGTACTCTCTAAACTGCCATGTGCTGAGGTGTTACCCATCACTCCTTCTGATGCGAAAGCTCAAATCCTTCCTGGAAAATAGTGATTTGGGGGCTATGAGTAGGAGGGAATCCTGCTTTCTCAGTAACTACCTGGATATAAAATTGACACTTGCAGAAGCCAGACAAATGTATAGTTGGCATCACAGACAAAATGAGCCAACTCAAGGTTAAAGCCATTAAATCTCTTCTGAAAACAGGGATTTTCCCCATTACTTAAGTATTATGGCCCCTATTATTGTTGTTACTAATTAAGGCATGAGTGTCATGGTCTACTAAAGGCTCCCATTTCCCAGTCTGTCCTCTAAATGGCGTGAGTGATATTATGAAGGGGACCTCCTCTGAGGCACTCAAACACTTGCTCTTAGTTGTAAGCCATCAGAGACATCTAATTCACCCACTTCATATATATACTGAGTGACCAAATTATTATGATATTTGAATGCATAATAATCTGGCCAGTCAGTGTATATCTTATATAATAAAAGGCTAATATGCAAATTGTCCCCTCGACCAGGAGTTCAACCAGCAGACTGGCTGGCCAACCACCAATGTCCAAGCCAGGCTGGCTGGACCCCACCCATGCACAAATTCATGCACTGGGCCTCTAATATGTATATGTATGTGTGTGTGTGTGTGTGTGTGTGTGTGTATACACACACACACACACACACACACACACACTCTGAGTGGCCAGATTATTATGCATTCAGAGGTCATAATAATCTGGCCACTCAGTGTATATATTGATTTCAGAAAGGAAGGTAAAGGGAGAGAGAGATAGAAACATCAATGATGAGAGAAGATCACTGATGACTGCCTCCTGCACACCTCACACTGGGGATTGAACCCATAACCCAGGCATGTGCCCTGACCAGGAATCGAACCATAAACTCTGGTTCATGAATTTATACTCAACCACTGAGCCACACTGGTTGGGCCCACCCACTTCTTTACCAGAGTACTAGCCTTACACACATATAAGATCATGAGACTAGATATCTCAAATCTTTTAAGAATCTAAGCTTCTAGAATCTAGATGATATGTTGGTTAGTTCAGCTCAATAATTTAAGGATCTTTAAGCACTAAAATAGACACCCATTGATCAATCTATAAATAGGTGAATGGTCATTGAGGATGAAATGGATATTTGAGAATATTAAAAATCACAGTTTTGAAACTTAGGTGGCCTTCTCTTGTAAGCTTCCCAAGCAGCCATGTCTGAACAAGTCAAGCTCTGAAAAATCTCTATGGCCTTTAAAAATCTCGACACCAAGCACAGCCTACCTTCATGTCAAATAATGACTCAAATCTGAGCACATGAGCTCATGGCAGCCTATATTGATTTACTATACGGTAATACTCTGGTTTCATGCTTTATAACTTGATCCCCAAATAAGGAATGTTATGTGCTTTAAATTCCTCTGCTTAATAAATCTGGAGAGTTTTATTGACTTCATAGGTGCAAAGATAATCACCCAGAAAAGACACTGGGTTTCACTTTAAAAAAAAAATGTCATTTTTTAAATTCCTCTTTGCAATTAAATGAACAATATATGTCATGCAAATCACAATCTTTGACACCCTTTTAAAAATTCAACACCTTATATATTCAAAACAATTTCAATTATTTACAAATTAAAGAAGGTGGACTCTACTTAGAATTAGTATTAGATCCCAGAGACATATTTGGCCAAAATGAGGCTCCCCTTTCTCATCCACGTCACTCAATGCTTGAGAGAGACACTGGAAATGAAGCGCTTCCCCATTGATGTAATGGTGATGAAAATGTTTCCCAGTTGTAGATGTCACACATAATCTACTCAGGAAGTTAAATTTGAGTATCAGAAACGCTATGCTATCAATCACTATGTACTTTGAAGAAATGTTTTTCAAGATCCAGAAAGAATGATAAGCTGGATTTCAAGCAGTTGTTTCTTAAAATCAATTTAGAGATGTATACCAATACTCATTTTCTCTTTACTACATTATTTTCCAATTCAATTTCAGAAAGTTGGAGGCTTGGACACAGGTGTAATGTGTCCTTCACTTACTCCTGAACTGCAAACAGTAATAAAAGAGGGTGGTTCATGTAAGGTACTCGATCAGCCCATTCCACTTGATAGATTGGTAGTCAAAAGTATTGATGCACTCCATGTGTCAGGTAAGTATCCTTTTTCATCATTAATCTGCTTGCCATCCAAAAATTTTATATTGGACTTTATTGGAAACAGTACATAAACCAATTTAAGTCTTCATAAAAGAAAATACTGACTTCCTATGTGGCTGTACAAATTAGTTATGGAAAGAGTATTGGACTTGGTCTCCAATGCTTTCATGTCCCAGCTCTGCCACTGCTAACTGTATGATTGTAGGCAAGGAACTTAAATCTTCTATGCCACAGATTCATCTTGGTAAACAGGGATAATAATATCTATTAATATGTCAGTGGGTTGTTATGAGAATTTCATGAAACAATGCATAAAAAGCACTCAATGACTGATGGCTATTTTTAGTTTTGTTATATTATCATTATTAGTACTCACTGGCACACCACAACACACTATGCAAGCCTAAGATATTCTACTACAATAACTATATAGAAAGAAATATTCAAGAAATAATATGTATACATTTGCAGGTATACATATATACATACATGTCATGTGTGTAGGTATATAATCTTTACTTTTCAAGCATTTCCTCAGGGTCTACTGAGACCAGGCACTGTGTGAGTGCCCTAGAGTTATAAACAGCCCACTCTTGGGGCAGCTCTCAGAACAATGAGAGATCAGTAAATCCCATCAGGAAGGCCCTGACAATCAAGGGACTCACAGGACATTTCAGATTCTTCAGAGAGAGAGAGAGAGAAAGAGAGAAAGAGAGAGAGAGAGACAGAGAGAGAGAGAGAGAGACAGAGAGAGACAGAGAGAGAGAGAGAGATGGAACAGCACAGTGCCCAATGCAAAATAAGTGCTAATAAATGGTATCAATTATTATATTCATTATGTATTACTAGAGGCCCAGTGCACAAATTCATGCACCTTGAAAGGAAGGGGGGCATGCAAGGCTGCAATGGGCACAGGGGTGGATCTCAGCCCATCCTCCATGACCCCACCTGGCCCCTCCCACCAGAGTCCCAGGTTCCCTGTCTGTTGGGTGCAAGCAGTGGTTCTGGTGCCGGCTATGGGTGCAAGTGGGGCTGGCACTGGCAGTGAGAGTGTAAGCTCCAGGCAGGACCATGGTGTGCAGGAGCAAAGAATTTGAGTAAGCACCAGAGGCTCCCTCCAATGACAGCAACGGTGCCCTGCCTTGGTCTGGCACCCCCACTCACCTGCTCCACCATTTCACCACAGCCAGGGCCCACCATGCTCCACACACACACCCTGGTGGTCAGCACACATCGCAGTAACCCGTTGTCCAGTTGTTCAGATGTTCCTGTTGTTCTGCTGTTCGTTCTATTTGTATATCAGCCTTTTATTACATAGCATTATAATAGCATTTAGGGGAAAAGAAAGTTACTCCCAACCACATTCTGACTTCTCATTTTCTTTTACAAGCCCACCCATACCAGGTCCCTTTGTTTCTAAAGTCCCTTGTACCCAGGTTGCAAACCAAACAAATGAGGAACCCCTTTTTTGTAACTGAGAACTACAGTTACAAGTTTTGAGGGAAAACAGATTCCAGGAGCTAGCTAAGAAAAGCCACCTGCTCTTCAAAGCCTCACTTGCTACAGGGAATTTATAAGGGAGTAAGACAAACACAGCCAAATCCCTCCCTTCCCCCAGAAAGTCATTTTAAAAAGTTTAAGCCCTCTCTTCTCAAATAAACTGGACAGAATTCCATGACATCAGCAGATATTGTGCTAGAATTTCAGAAATATGAGGTTTGTTTAGACAGTTGTGAGTATAATTTGTGGTACTGGAATAGTTCTTGCAAGTAAGAAAATAAAAGTTTTGCATTCGCTTTGACTCTGAGTGAGGCCCAATCAGCCTCAATGAGCCTGAGTTAGACCCACAGCCTCCAACAGAGATGAGGGTGGACAAGCAGCAGCTCAATGATGAGACAGGAATAACGCACTCTTCTAGACCTTTCCACATACTTGATACAACCAGAAGCACCCTGCTTTGATTTGTTTGTTTCTAAGCATTAATCAACTGTAGAAAGGATGTATAGGAGCAGAATTTTATTGTGTTGTATTAATAATGCAACAAAGAAGCTTTTAAGAACTCCTGGTGTGTGTGTGTGTGTGTGTGTGTGTGTGTGTGTGTGTGTGTGTGTGTATAAAGGCTGAGCACAATCGCATCTGAAACAACCAAACAGATGACCAACAGGCTGTGTGGGGCAACCAGGCTGGCAGGGGGATCAGTGAGGGACGACCAAACGACTGAGCAGCAGATTTCATGGGGAGACCAAGCCGGCAGGGAGGTTAGTGAGGGGCGACCAAATGACTGAGAAGCCGGCTGCGCGGAGTTACCAGGCCCAGGGCGGCGGAGCGGGGGCGGGGGGGGGGGGGGGGGGGGACGACGACCAGACTGGCAGAGGGGGCAGTGAGAGTGACCAGGTTGGGGGGGGGGGTGTGCAGTTGGGGGTGACTACGCCTGTAGGGGGTGACCAGGCCAGCAGGGGGAGCAGTTAGCGGTGATCAGGCAGGCAGGCAGGTAAGCAGTTAAGAGCCAGTGGTCTCAGATTGTGAGAGGGATGTCCGACTGCCAGGTTCCCCCCCCCCCCCCAATCCTGTGGATTGGGCCTAAACCTGCTGGGTTTATATAATGACATCCCCTGAGGGGTCCTAGTTTGGAGAGGGTGCAGGCTGGGGCTGAGGGGACTCCCCCTGCCACCATGCAGGAATTTCATATACTTTGGTGGATGTTGGATTTTGAGTCTTTTTTTATTTTTGTATTTTCTTACCCTGTTGTGAAGCATTTAAGTGGTTTTATATTTCTGCTACTTCTCAATTTGTTTATAACATTGTTTTGATGTGGCTTCCTTTTAAATACAAAAGTAAATAAAACATTTTAGTAAGGGGTTTAAAAAGAAACAATCCCATTGTTTTCCATATTTTTATTATCTATATTTTATATATACAAAATCCACCTAACATGCTAAGCTTCTTCCTTGAGTAGGAGCCCACTTTCCATCACATGCCATAATTGCATTTCATCAAGCCCTGGAAGTTGTTAGTTAAGGAAGAAAGGGTTTCCTTATTCAAGTGAGCTCCATTTCGACATAGTAGTAAAGTCTTGGTTTTGAAATCAGACTTTTTTTGGGGTAACTTACAAATATTTCCCACCTTCATTAAAACAAACAAAAAAACAACCCTCTAAGTTTTTGGAGAACTAAGACACTATTTGGATTTCATATTAAATGATTTGGCTTTTTGTCTTTGGATCTTTTTCTAGTCTTTGGATTGAGAAATGCCTTCCTTATTCAACATGAGAGCCGATATCAACAGTGTATAGCAGCATTCTTATTACAAGCCCAAACAGAGATCATCAAAGTATGTATTTTAATTTTGTTGGCTTTGATTCTTTAAACTTGATGGAAGGAACAATCTCACTCCTAGTCTAAGTAAAGGTGAATGGGAAGTTCTGTGTATTTCCCTCACCTGCTTTGGAAAGGACAGACGTTGGGAGGTGGGGAGGAATAGGGACATCTAGTCCACATCATATTCAGAAATCTCAAGGTGACAATCCCCACCCACTCACAGAGTTGACACAGTCCCTCTCATTTCTCCTGTGGCAAAAAGTTCCAGAACGACTTCTGATTTCAGTTTCCATATGAAATGGAGGAGGGCTGCTTTGGATTGTATGACTAGCTTTTAAGATGCTCTCATCAGTTTCCCAAGTCTCGCAAATAATGTGATGTCAAATTAAGTGAGGGGCTGCTGCAACAATGAACCATGACTAGAAGTATACTCTTCGACCTTTGAAAATAATGCCTCATTTTTGCAGCAATGCAGTTGAAGACAGGCTGCCTAACTATGGTTCCTCTATTTTAGAAGTTTCCATTTTTTTATTTTTCTTCTAGTAGGCTTTCATCACCCTAAAAGGGGGGCCAGACAATGAATGCAATATTGCATTCTCCTTAAGGACTCAGTTTCCTGAGTCATCTCCCTCAATCTGTTTTTCAAATTATATCATTAAAGAACTTCTATTTCCAGACGAAACAGAAATTTAATGTTCAAACTATTTATATTATAGTCATAATTGATTCTTATGGTTCTTTGATTACTCATGACTACCCCACTTGCATAACATACTCATTTAATCCATTTTCATGTTCATACATAATTAAAGATATTGATGATATATTAGATGTAAGAAAGAAAATGGGAAACATGCAAGTGTTTCATTAGTCCTCGATTTTAAAGAGCAAGTCAATAAATACAAAGCAAAAGATTAATCTGTGAAAAAATTGTCAGGTTAATATTCTTCTCTCTCCCCCTTTTCTCCCTTTACCCCGCACCCCATGTGTGTGTGTATGTGTGTTTGTGTGTGTGTTGTTTTTGTTTTATAGAAAACATGGATGGCACAAATAACAGCAGCAATCTCTTGCTTCACCAAGAGTCAGGAAACGAAGAAAATATCTTTCTTCACACCATCCACAGAATCCTCTGAAATTTAGGGACCTAAAACTAATCTTTTTAGAAATGAGAGATAAAGGTATTCTTTCAGACTTTTGTAACAGTGATGAGCTAGAAGAAAATATGCCATTTAAAGGAGTTCCAGGATTTGAGTGAAGAAAATCCTCAGTACAAAGGAATGATGACTGCAACAAATTTGAAATCTGGGGAATTTCTTGTTAAGTATATGCTGATATCCAGACTACCTTAAAACGCTTCAGTCAAACTTATAAGAGGTGTGAGTGAAGTGTGATGCTGTTATAATTTGTAAAGGGTGAATGATTAGATGAACAAAGTGGCAGGAGGAAAATGTTTGAGTCCAATACGAATTCTAGCATCTTACTTTGTGTATATCTATAATGAAACCAACCTCACTTACTGCTTTATAATACTGCCTCACATTCAGATCATTCTTTTGACATAAAGTTTGTTCTTTTAATATATTGATAAATAAGGTCCTCATTTTAAGTTTTTAAATTCCAATTCTCCAACAGTTCACTTATCTCAGGTATATTTCATAATACTCTAACTTGGAATTAGAAAATCCCAAAGACTAAACTCCATTATTAAAAAATAAAATATCTGTTCCAGTTTTACATGTGAACACTTTTACATGGGAAATTGTCTTAGGAATAGTAAAAGTATCTTTCTCTAAACCTCATTTTTTAAAGAATGGTTTGTCATAAAATTATTTTCTGGTTTTGAGGATGGGATTATGTGTTTTACCATAGTACAGCCACCTAATTTTACTTAGCAAGACTTGAAGTTTCATTAAATTTTTATTTAAAAAGGCATCTTGAATTATTTTATTATTATATGGTTTGATTATATCAAATGGAAATCCACAAATTTCAACTTCAACCATGGTATCTTGTGCAATTTCCAAAACGGAAGTAGTAAATTTATCAACCTGGGATGCAAGGCAGGATACCTTAACTGACCTCTTCAAGTTGGAGAATGGGACAAAGAGGATGATGTGAAGGGAAGTCATGCGTACAGTTAATGCTTTGAAGAAAAGGCAAATTTCACCAAACAGCTTCCTGTTTGTATAGACAAGTGTAGCACAAAGGTTCTTGTGCACAGACCAAGCATATTGCAATGGAGGGTCATCATCTTTGTGTAATAATGTCAGAAATTCGGAGGAGTAAGTGAAAATAAAAGGAAAATATGAAAAGCAATAATTAAAGGCTAAAAATAAATGAGAGGAAGAATAGACTTCAAGCGAATTCCTGGAGATGGGACCTAGATGACATTGAAAGCAAATTATATTCAGGACAATACTGACTTATGCAAGAAAAGACTTAAAAAAAGAATATATGTGTATTAGAAAAAATTAACAATCATCTTACAGAGATTTTCAGAATAAGCTGACTTTGGAGGACAATGGACTAGAATTAGGCACTCTCAAGATTCCTTTAGTCCCATGATTCCAGTAACCATGTATAAAGAACTAGTTTCTTCTTAAAATATCATTAAAGGAGACTGACTAAATTAACATCAAGAATGTAAAATAGCTAAAGAATATGCTATATATAAGAGCCAACATGTGGGGAAAAAATCCAAAACTTTAATGGCCACTGACAGACTAATGGATAAAGAAAATGTGGTGTATATGTATAGAATGGAATACTATTCAGCTTTCAAAAAGAAGGAAATTCAGCAATATGCAACATGGATGAATCTTAAAGACATCATGCTAAGTGAAATAAGCCAGTCACAGAAAGACAAATACTGTATGATTCTACTTGTATGAGGTATCTAATAATAGTCAACTTCCTATAATCAAAGCATGAAATAGTGGTTGCCAGTGAAACAGAGAGGGAAATGGGCAGTTACTAATCAATGGGCTTAAAATTTCAGTTAAGCAAGATGAGTAAGCTCTAGAGATCTACTATACACTTAAAAAGAGGTCATAAGAGTAGATCTCATGTTAAAATTTAAAAAAAGAAAATGCTATATATGTAAATTGGAATTCTATAAAGCTCACAAAACAACATGTCTAGCCGAAACCGGTTTGGATCAGTGGATAGAGCGTCTGCCTGCAGACTGGAAGGTCCCGGGTTCAATTCTGGTCAGGGCATGTACCTTGGTTGCGGGCACATCCCCAATAGGGGGTGTGCAAGAGGCAGCTGATCAGTGTTTCTCATTGATGTTTCTAACTCTCTACCCCTCTCTATTCCTCTCTGTAAAAAAATCAATAAAATATTTTTTAAAAAAGAACGTCTAATATGTAATATAGTAAGTGCTTGAGAGTATACACAGTGTACTCTTCAGAAGGAAGCATATTAGAATAAAATGGAGGGAGAAAAAACATCTCTGGAACTTTGGTTCCAGGGAAAGGTGGGCAGTAAAAAACAATGCTATTTTGAGCCTTCACAAGAATATCTTTAAAAGGACACATGGGTATTAAATTAGATATACAACAAAAGAAAGATTAATATTCTTTAGTATTTTTCTTTAGTCTTGCTAAGTTTCACAATGAATGGAATGAAAAGGGAATGTCTCAAGCAAAATGACATCAGTAATTTTTCTTGAAATTATTAACTTAATTATTATTCTAAGTTGAATATTAAAGTTGAATATTCTAAGTTCTAATATTTACAGAATATTAGAACTTTGCACTAATATATATATATTATTATATCCAAGTGCAAAGTTCTAATATTCTGTAAATAAATTAAGTTCTAACATTCCACAAATGGATATCTTGTTCTTTTTTTAAAATTGACAAAATTATTTGTAGTCACAGAATACATTTACTAGAAAGAAATGTTTTAATATCTTCTTTAACATATTAAAAAAACAAAAGCAACAATTCAATAAGGATCCTTCCATTGATCTTTATACAGATTTAAATGCTGTCATGTAATTTATTACTTACATTTATAATCAATAACCTTCAATCACTGAGTTTAGAAATTACAGTATTTTTTGCTAAACTCTCTCACAAATAAGGCACAACAACATGATCACAAGTAGTAAACACAATACAAATAATGAATCCAAAAACTTAACAAGAAAATGCTCATGCAAAAGTATCTACAGAGGATATGAATATATGATCCAGTTCAAAGAACTACAGAATGTCATATACATAACTATATCATGTTACAATAATTCATTATTCCTACACTGGAAGAACTTCACTATTTCCAATTCTATTTTACACAATTTTACATAAATTTAGTAAGTTTATGCACAATATTCACATCTGCAACAATAACAAATTGTTAAAACTCAGGCAAAGGGAAATTAAGACACGCTAATGTGTGGCGTATTATAATTACAGAATACCATTCATCACACTCATGTCTAGGAATACTAAATTGACGGCACATTTAAATCTTAGAGAACAAGTCATCCATGGTTTTATAGCCAAAGTGCATTAAAAAAACTTCTATAGTCAATAGATCATGAATATCAAAATATATGATCATAATTTGCTCTCCACTTAAAAGCTAAACACTTTTATGCAAATAAAGGTTTAAAAAAAGTGAATTTAAAGTTTTCCAAACTATAAAATAACCATAAAGCCTTTTAAAGAGAGATGGGAAACAAATTTGGCAGTTACTATTTAACATTACTGTGAGGAAACTATTAAACTAGCTAATTCCACATTAAGAGGTAGTTGAACAAAATGTTATTTGTACACTGCTTTGAGGTTTTTGTGTTTGTTTCCCTCTTTATTTTCTCAAAATGAACAAATCTCATATGAGCAGCTTCGTCTTCTATTTAAAAAAATTCCATATAGTTTACTATCCACTAGCCCAGCAAGACTTGATTTTAGCTCAGTTTTCTGTGCTGCAGTTTGAAATTTACTAACACATGATGCTAATATGCTTTGCATTAGAGCTGAGAGCTGGGCCTCCACATACACTCTAACTCACTGATGAATAGTACCAGCAGACATAAAAAATGTAGAACCAGCCAAAGCCGGTTTGGCTCAGTGGTAGAGCGTCCGTCTGCGGACTGAAAGGTCCCAGGTTTGATTCCGGTCAAGGGCATGTACATTGGTTGCGGGCACATTCCCGGTAGGGGGTGTGCGAGAGGCAGCTGGCCGAGGTTTCTCTCTCATCGACATTTTTAGCTCTCTATCTCTCCCCCTTCCTCTCTGTAAAAAATCAATAAAATATATATTTTTAAAAAATGTAGAGCCAATAAAGATTTAGATGATTTTTTAATTAAAAAAAAAAGAAAACCTTTTAATTTTTGTTTTCAAACATCTTAAATGGGTGACAGTTAACAACAAAAATATTTTAATTTCTAATATTATTAGTACAATAACCAATGTTAATTATTCAGGAAATATGAAATGAGATTTGCTAGATGAAAACTAGAAAATCATTCAAACACATACAATTTTATTTGTTGTCCCCACAACATTTTTTATTTATTTTTGTGTGAATATGTGGGTAGGACAATAAGGGAAAAGATCTTTAATGCACTTAATTAGATGAAGTAAACAAATATTCTAACCCAGAAGAATTCTCATGAAGTTTTATTATCTTAAAAAAATAAACAGTAGTGCTGTGAACATCTATTTTTTTCCAACACATTTATTAACTCCCTTATATGTAAAAGTATAGAATTAATACTATTTGAAAGGATTTATAAGTATGTAAAAATACATAATTTCAGCTCAATTTATATTATCCAAGTATTATTTTTAATAATGAGTCATCATATTTCTTCATTATATATGCTAAAGGTTATATGTTTATCCAAGTTCAGAGCTTCAATCAGAATCTTTAATAGCTACTTACAACAGGGTTTTTTAATGATTGAGTATGTGGCAATCTCTTAGTTTATATATATTGTTGGTATAGTATAAACGTAAGTTCATTTCATTTCAGTATGATATTTGAAAGCAAATATATATTATAAACTACTTATTGTAAATAAAATATTAACTCCCATCTTTCCTATTACTACCAAATAATTGCACTGAAATTATTTTTACATTTCTTCTCTAGAAAGAGTAATAAACCATTATTACTGACTTTCCTCTTCAGATGTTTTCCAATTTTTCAAATTAATAAGACTATAATAATTTAAAGTTCAATTACATTGTTCAGCATATAAATAAGCTAATTTTTAATTATCCTTAATTAGCCATTCTGTTTTAATTCTGATGGCAACTTTGGGATTCCTAAATACATTTGTTTCTAATGAAGCTCTATTCTCCACCTATCACTTCAGGGTAATTTCACAGCATTATTTTTGCAAAGTAAATGATTTACCAGTTGATATGAAACCCAAATTTGGAACCATTTAAAATTTAAGTTCACAACTTTTAAAATGCTTCCCTAATATTAGGTAAAATTAAAGTATAAAGTAAAATATTTAATGTCTCCTTACCATTATGCATTTGGTTTTCACAAATAAGAATATAGCTACATCAGTTATTGGCTTTAAGACACAAAAATTATAAAACAATTACCATGAATCTGAGCTATACTTGGGAAGGTTAAACCAAATTAAAGTAAATAGCAGATCCACTGAAAAAGCAAACCTATTCCTGAAGATGCTAGAGAGACAAAATGAGGGATAATATGAAGGCTAATCTCAGAAGACCTCCCCTTTACAAGAAACTGAGAATAGGACCATTAGACAATTCTATTCATCTTCCACCGTAGGGTGAGGGTGGGAAACTTTGTAGGATCCTTAACAGAGAATAATTTCGAGTTTAAATTTGAGAATGAAAAAGAAAAGTTAACCCTAATCTTTAAAATACAACCCTAAGATAATCAGAAAGTAAGCGAAATGATTTTACAGAGGTTTTCCTAAAACCTAACCAAGATAATATAATCAGTATTGTTAAAGCAAAACCAATTTTGAATTCATGGTTACTATATACTTCAACATAAAATGTGTTTTGATCTCTTGAGCATAAATTTATAACGATGTAATTAAGGTTTGGACCTATATATAAAATGAAACAGAGTCATAAAGTTTTATAATTCTGTGCCTGACTTTAGAAAGAATATATTTAATATATTTAATATATTTAATGTGTTATTGTATAACATATATAACGTGATAACATCCATGTACATTTCTGTACACTCAATTTGGGAGAAAGAAGTTATGGAAGTATATTCATGTCATTTGTGAACAATGAAATTATATTTAAAAAAATACATTGCTATTTTCTGTCCAAAGTTTATTTACATTTCATTGGCAATTCTAAACTTGGCATGTAAGCTGTTCCAGGAGTTAAATGGAAAAAATAATGAAAGATGAGCCCAAGTCTCACAAAAATAGAAGAGTTTTACTTAATATTGACAGCATTCCAAAATATACGAATTCTAATTTGGTTTAGTATTGCAACCACTGTCCAAATCAAATAGTAGTCCAGGACCTCTATTAAGAACATTTATTAAAAATCTAATGTTAGTGTAATATTATTCTGAAGTTGCAATAAACCATTCATTATCCTTGCAAATCATTGAAACATGTATCACAGACACGAACAGGCTTCTTAGAAGAAGGAGTTAAGGCATTTTTGGCTGAACACTCGGCACAGAAGATATTTCCACAGTGTCTGCAGTGATGCTGTAGATGACAAAAATTAAACAATTTTAAGCATACAAATACACCATAAGCATTATGAGATTACAAGAACACTGCAAACTGCACTATGAAGATACTGAGTAATTAGTGTATTTAAAAATATAATATTTTAATATGTCAATTTAATCCCTTAGTTCAGTGGTTCTCAACCTTTCTAATGCCACAACCCTTTAATACAGATCTTCATGTTGTGGTGACCCCCAACCATAAAATTATTTTCATTGCTACTTCCCAACTGTAATTTTGCTACTGTTATAAATCATAATGTAAATATCTGTGTTTTCTGATGATCTTAGGCAATACTGCTAGCGATTCTCAATTTGTGAGTTGGAGCAAAATTAGAGTTATGAAGTAGCAACAAAAATAATTTTATGGTTGGGGACACCATATGAGAATCTGTATTAAAGGGTCATGGCATTAGAAAGGTTGAGAATTAATGCCTTAGTTAAATTGAATGGCTCCTATTTTTC